CTCACTGCTTACTGTATCTAGCTTATATATAATCATGCTTAGTCCATATAATCTTTCTATATAATCATGTAATAACTCACTGCTTACTGTATCTAGTCTATATGTATAATCATACTTAGTCTATATAATCTTTCTATATAATCATGTAATAACTCACTGCTTACTGTATCTAGCTTATATATATAATCATACTTAGTCCCATATAATCTTTCTATATAATCATGTAATGACTCACTGCTTACTGTATCTAGTCTATATGTATAATCATACTTAGTCTATATAATCTTTCTATATAATCATGTAATGACTCACTGCTTACTGTATCTAGCTTATATATATAATCATACTTAGTCCCATATAATCTTTCTATATAATCATGTAATAACTCACTGCTTACTGTATCTAGCTTATACATATAATCATACTTAGTCCCATATAATCTTTCTATATAATCATGTAATGACTCACTGCTTACTGTATCTAGCTTATATATATATAATCATACTTAGTCCATATAATCTTTCTATATAATCATGTAATAACTCACTGCTTACTGTATCTAGTCTATATGTATAATCATACTTAGTCTATATAATCTTTCTATATAATCATGTAATAACTCACTGCTTACTGTATCTAGCTTATATATATAATCATACTTAGTCCCATATAATCTTTCTATATAATCATGTAATAACTCACTGCTTACTGTATCTAGCTTATATATATAGTCATACTTAGTCCATATACTCTTTCTATATGATCATGTAATGACTCACTGCTTACTGTATCTAGCTTATATATAATCATACTTAGTCCATATAATCTTTCTATATAATCATGTAATAACTCACTGCTTACTGTATCTAGTTTATGTATATAATCATACTTAGTCCATATAATCTTTCTATATAATCATGTAATGACTCAGTGCTTACTGTATCTAGCTTATATATAATCATACTTAGTCCATATACTCTTTCTATATAATCATGTAATAACTCACTGCTTACTGTATCTAGTTTATATATATAATCATACTTAGTCCCATATACTCTTTCTATATAATCATATAATGGATGTAGTCGGAGCTGTACCGACACATTTAGTGTGATTTATAGAATCCTTCCACATAATCATACAGTAGTTTGTAGTAGGAGGAATGCCCAGAGCAGTCACAGAACAGAAGCAGCACATGGGAAAACAGCCAGACCAGGACGAGAACCAAAGACCCAGGTGGTGGCGTCCCTGCCTGAAAGGGCACACGCTGTATGGCAGGCTTGGAGCAAGAGCCTCTCCTCCTGAGAAAGGAGCTGTGGTACCCGCATCCAGTTCCTGTGGAAAGCAGGCCTCAGGCCTGAGATCCCGCAAATAACCGAGGGAGAAGAACCCCTCTGATGTGACCAGTCACGGCGGCTGTACACCCTGTTAGTCTTTTCTCGCTTCTGTGCTAGCTCAGATCATCCTCCCATAAATATCTTAAGAGAAGAGCACATGTCTGTTAGCTCCCAGTGCATGGGCTTACAGTATCCTTCTGTTAGAAATCCTTTGACATCTCCAGTCCCCAGATAAGAAGTGTTGCTCACGACACCTGTTGCACACAGTCCACCTCCTTTTCTCAGTGACCTAATGGGGGTGGACCCCTTTTCTGTACACAACCCTCTACTACTGTGCACGGCACAGCCCCCTACTGTGCACGGCCCACCTCTCTGCCCAGGTGACATAATGGGGTGGCCTCCTCGATTGTGACTCACATGATTATATATGCCCTATCAGTAAGCCTATAGATGATGACCTCACTCACCACCCTGCCCCCCGCTTGTACCTAATAAATACAGATGCTTATGAGCATTCGGGTCCTCGCCTGTCTCCCCTCATAGGTGGCACGGCCCCCAGAGTCCAGCTGCTATTCATCAGTTCTTCAGTGTCCTGTCTCTTTACTTCTCAGATCCTGCACCTCAGCACAGCATAAGGGACGCTCTACAACCCTGTGGGGTGCTGCAGCCCTACACCTGACCTCAGGTGATCCACCCACCTCAGCCTCCTGAAGTGCTGGGATAACAGGTGTGAGCCACCGCACCTGGCACCTCTTGTCTTTGTAACTGACCCAGCCTCAGTTATTGCTCTACAGCAGTGCACATGGACACAGAACCTACACCAGGAGAGTGGGCAGCAGACGACCCAACTGACTCGGCCACGGGCTGCAGCCGCATTCCACCATGCGGTACACACTCACTGCACTGGGCTGTGCACGCATTTTTGGGGCAGCTGTGTGTTTGTATACAGTTCTTGATGTTCTGTCACACACACAGGCTGCTGTCACCAGCTCCCCCGGCATCCAGCGCATCACGGGAAGTGAGTCACTGAAGCTACCGTCCATGTCGACTGACCCATGAGAAGCCGTGGGGCGCCTCATTCCCCAGGCCCCTTGGACAGATCCTCAGCCTGGCTGGCTCACGGGAGTGAAGGGAGAAGGGAACAGGTGTGAGATCTGAGGAGAAGAATCTGCTTCCCCCAGGAGGGAGGTGTGAAGGTGGTGGGCAGGGCTCTGGAGGGAGTGCGGGGCCGCTGATGTAATGAACTCAGAGCCAGCGGCCAGCCTGGTCTGTTGTGGCCGCAGGTTCCTGCCCCTCACCTCCAGCAGGGCTTTGCTGGGCATTTACTGCCAATCATGAGCTGGTATTCCTTATGTTGAGGGGCGGGGGTTCGAGCCTAAACAACCCCAGAGTCCCTGGTCTTAAGTTGTGGGAGTTAGCCCAAAGCCCCCCAGGCCTGGTGCCTGTCCTCTTGGGCTGTGAATTAGAAAAGGCCTCCATAGGCTTCTTTTGTTGAGATCAGGGAATTGAGTGCCCGTTCAGAGACCTGCACAGGCCTGGCCTGCTCCAGCCAGTGCTGCTGGGGTTGGGGTGAGGGTGCCATCTGGATGGGCAGTGCCCTTGTCTCTAGTGGTCCCTAGAGACAAAGCTTCCCCGGCAGGAGGGCTGGTCAGAGCCCCCGAGCCACTGGACTACGAGGGCTGAGAGCGCTTCCTAGATCACACCTGGAGACTAGGGGCTCAGAGGAGCGGTTAAGCTTAAGTTTCAAGAAGGCTTCTCTAAGGGGCAGCATCAGGGAGAGATGGGGGTGGGATCAGGAAGGAGAGAGGGGAGGCGGCAGAAGGGAGGGGCCAGCCGACACAGGGAGGCAAGGGGGGCACATTGGACAGGAGGCGCACGGGCAGAAGTCTCAGTAGCCTGGGGCTTGAGTTTGGAAGACCAGGCGGAGGAGGGTGGTGAACAAGAGGAGAGACGGGGACAGGGATGGACGGACTCAGTGGCCTTGATGCCTCCATTGGGGGCTCGGACTGTGGGGCACAGGGGTCTGCAGGGAGGGAGGAGAGCTGGCATGCACTGTAAGATGCACCTGGGGCCGTGGGGTAGAGAAGAGCAGGACAGAAGGGAGAGGGGGTCAGTGGCTGCAGTCCCCTGCACATGACACAGCCGGCGGTGGACAGAGAAGGCCTCCTGAGTCCCAGGCCAGGATGCGGATGAGGAAGCTTTAGGCCGGGGCGGGTGGGGCAGAGACGGGGGCCACCCTGGGTGTTGTCCTCGAGTGGAGGAAGAAAGTGGAGCACGCGTGCCTCTCATCAGCTGCCATCCTGCCAAGCTGGCCACTGCATCGCCTTGCTGGCTTGGTTGCGGGGGGAGGAGAGCTGGGGGGGTTCTGGTCACCCATGTGAAGGCATCACCAGTCCTCACATCTCCAGCCACTGCAGAGGTGTGTTCCTGTAGGAGCGACCACTCCACGCCTTTCCAGCTTCTGGACCCTCGGGAATCTCTGGGCTGTTCCCTGGGGCCTTGAGAGCCACCTTTCTGGGCCTTTCCTTTGCTGTCATGGAGTCTACATCTGCATCTCTCACCAGGGCACTGTTGGCATCTGGGCAGGATACCCGCATACCCTCACCTCTGCGCACCAGATTCCAGAGGGACCCCGCCCGGCTGTGCTCACCAACTCTGTCCTGGAGATTGTTAGGTGGCCCCCGGGTGGCAGAAGTGCCCTTGGTTGAGAGCAAGTGCCCTAACGCATTCCAGGGAACAGAGGGCCAGACAAAACCGAGAGCTGTTTGGAATTCGAGGCCTCACGACAGGGCCTTGGGAAGGCATTCAGCACCCCCAGGCCTCCTGTGGGGCGTCCTGAGAGCAGGCACTAGGCCACCGAATGAACCCTTAGCTTCCCAGGTACGTGGGGCCAGAAAGGTGTGAGGGCTATTTCTGCACTGAAGAGGGGCTGCTCCCATTGTTAGTAAAGACTCTGATTTATGTGTCAGTCTCCTGTGAGTCTGGCTAATAGGGAGTAGTCCTGGGGAGACCCATCGGAGGCAGTGACTACCCAGCGTCCCGGGGCTCTGAGGGGACCCATCGGAGGCAGTGACTACCCAGCGTCCCGGGGTTCTGAGGAGACCCATCGGAGGCAGTGACTACCCAGCGTCCCGGGGTTCTGAGGAGACCCATCGGAGGCAGTGACTACCCAGCGTCCCGGGGTTCTGAGGAGACCCATCGGAGGCAGTGACTACCCAGGGTCCCGGGGTTCTGAGGAGACCCATCGGAGGCAGTGACTACCCAGGGTCCCGGGGTTCTGAGGAGACCCATCGGAGGCAGTGACTACCCAGGGTCCCGGGGTTCTGAGGAGACCCATCGGAGGCAGTGACTACCCAGGGTCCCGGGGCTCTGAGGAGACCCATCGGAGGCAGTGACTACCCAGGATCCCGGGGCTCTGAGGAGACCCATCGGAGGCAGTGACTACCCAGGGTCCCGGGGTTCTGAGGACACCCATCGGAGGCAGTGACTACCCAGCGTCCCGGGGTTCTGAGGAGACCCATCGGAGGCAGCCACCAGCCAGGGTCCCATAGTCCTGAGGGCCTGGGAAGCGGCCCCTGCACTGCTCCCTGGGAGGAAGCTGGTAGCCTTCATGGGGGATGTCTACTGCATTCCCGAAGTGCAGAGATCCATGAAACACAGCCCTCGAGTCAGAAATCAATGTTTACTGCAGAGAACACAGAAGCCAGCAAGCAGCAGGGAAGGGAGGCATCAGCAGTGGGCACCTCGGGCCCCCTGGGAACCACCACAGTGACCCCCGAAAACAGAGGAGGACACACGCAGAGCAAGTCACAGGAAACGCGGCTGAGAACAAATGGATGCTTTTCCCAAATGCACAGGGTACTGAAAGGACGGATGGTCTGTCAGAGTAAAGCTCAACAGCTTTGGCTGGCAGGACGGTCAAACTTTTGGACAACAGAAGTAACAGTGGGAAACGGGACAACATTTGCCACCAGCGCAAGGCCAAGACCGCGGCTGTTATGGGGGGTCAGCATCACAGTGCACGCGTGGTGGCCACTGCACATGTGTGCCTGGGGAATGTGAGTGTTTGGACGTGCCGGGCGTCCAGCCTCACCAGGAAACAGGCACACGGGGACAGGCGCCAACGGAAAACCCTCAGTGAACCCACTCGGCTGAGCAGAGGTCATGGGAACACGGTGCTGCGTCCCCACAAACCTGCACCTGGGCCCCAGAGTGAGACAGGCATGTAAGGTGCCGGCGTGCAGGTGGGGGTAGGGGCTGCCGGCTCAGAGGTGCGTCCAGGATCCCCCATCAGGCCGGAGCCCTGCCCTGAGCTACCTGCAGTGGTGACAGAGGGACAGCAGCATCAGGCCCAGTCCCGGCTGTGGAGTCGCCCCCACCGCCATGCCTGATCCTGGGGATTCTGCCAATGTGGGGGCCGTCTGCTTGGGCCGGGCTCCCTGAACACATGGCTGGGTTTTCGGAGGAAACAGGAGAGCGCCAACACCAGGCTCTGCAGGCCCGGGGCTCCCTGCCGGCTCATCTGGAGCACACCCCATGTTCCCTAGTCTCTGGAGACACCATGCCCGCCATTGCCTCAGCTCTGCTCCCCTGGAGACACTGCCCCCAAGGCCAGTCTTCCACTACAGCAGGTTTTGACATCAGCTCACAGGAAAAAAACATCTTGGTGCCCAAGACGGGACCCATAGGAGAGATCACCGGAAATAGAGCCCAGGTGCACCCAGGGCTCCCCAGAAACGCAGGTGAACCCCACCAGAGGGAACAAGCCTACATTGCTAATCGACCTTCCTGCTTCCTGGTGTGGAAAAGGAAACAAAGGCCCAGATGAGGAGGGCTCTGCCGTAGTGGCCGGTGTCGTCCCCAGACCTCTGGTCCTGGGGCTGGCTGGGAACCCCCTCTTACTGCTCTCCTGAGAAATGGCTCAGGGATGAGGCCTGTGGGGACAGATGCTGGCATAGCTCACAAATGCTTGCACAAAGGACGCACAGAGCAAAGTCACAACATTTGGAGGTTCTCTGCATTCTCAGGCCCGCAGAGCCTGGCCAGCCGAATGAGGCTGGGAGGGTGGTGCCTGCTGGTCAGGGTGGCCGAGGACGGCTGAGCGAGGCTGGGTGGGTGGTGCCCACTGGTCAGGGCGGCCCAGGAAGTGCTGCCCAGGCGAAGCCTGGGGCTGGTGTGCATGCGCCATGCTCCTGAGAAGCTTGTGGGCTGTGTGTTAAATGTTCAATGAGAACACGGACACTTGGCTCAAGGATCCTCAGCCTCCCCAGTACACTTCTGAACATCAGGTTGATTCCTGGGACTCCCCTCCAGGGTGGCCTCACTGGAGTCAGGAGCCCCCGCCCACACCCACTGCCCAAGTAGGACGGCTTTGTAGCAGCCTGAGGACACTGAGTGCCGAGCTCACTGCTGCCAGGTTGGCCACTGTGATGATTGGGCCTCAGAAGTAGTTTGGGAGCCAAATGAAAGCCCTGAAGCTATTTCCAGGCGTTTCAGCGGGTGCCTCCCTGCATGCACTCTGCTGCAGGCCGCCCTCCCAGGGCAGGAGCCCGCCGCACAGGAGGTTCCTTTTCTCTTTTCCGAGTGTGTTTCTTCTCTTTTTCTTCATCTCTGCTCCTCCTCCGAACTGAAGAGCAGGCAGTTTCTTTTTGTTAGTTTTGAGGTTGCTTCTTAGGCATATTTCATCTGGAATTTCCTGCTTTGGGGCTAATCTGCTCTACCAGCCTGAAAAGGACGAGAAATATCTCTGAGTACGTGAGAAGTGCAGTTACTACCTGGTTCCTCTGCAGGTAAGGACCACACTATGAAAGCAAGAGAATTGCTTGGGCTGAGTGGAAACAGGCACCTGCGGGAGACGGAGGCCAGGATGGGGGCCTCGGGTCAGTGGGGGTGTGAAGTGGGTGTTAAGCCTGCGCACCACAGCCCTGGATGGCACCAGCTTCAGGAGGAAGTGCTTCCTCTTTCCTAAAAGCGTTTAGGATGGTGGGAGGGTGTCAGACGGGCAAGCTGAGTGTGCATGACATGATCCTTGAACCACCTACAGCAAACGCCCACTCACCCTCCTTCGGTTTCAGAGCCAGACACCACCCAGGGGCCCCTGCCCTGTGCCCGCCCCTGTCCTGAATTCAGCGTGAACCACGCTTTTGCTCTTCTCTAGTTCCACCACGTGCCCCCAAACCATACTGTTTAGTTTTGCTCAGTTTGAACTTAGCGGTGGTTAGAATCGCACGTATGTCTTCTGTACCTTACATTCTCTGCTCACTGTCGAATCTGGCATGCGTAGGTGTTGATGCGGGTCCTGGCCAGCTGCACAGTCACTGCGCCAACAGCTTCCCTTGGTCGACACACCATAATTTACCCACTTTGCTGCAGACAGGCATGTGGGTTCTTTCTGGCTTTTCTGACAGCGCACACCGTGAATGTTATTTTGTCTCTGGCTGCGTGCATGCACGTTTCTCTAAGGTAAGTAAACAGGTGGCTCCTGGGAGCAGGAACGCACGTCTCCACCTTTTCCAGACTGCTCTCTAGACGTGTGCTGCTGCCCAGCGCTGTGGCGGTGAGGAGGACTCCTGCCCCATCCATGCCATGATCAAACTGATCTGTCTTTACCTCGCTGGGGGGCACAAAACTGGATCTCTTTGTTGTTTTAACTTATGCTCCCTGTTAGAGACCGCGCATGTTTTCCCACACTCCCTGACTGTTAAGAGACTGCGCATGTTTTCCCACACTCCCTGTTAGAGACTGCGCATGTTTCCCCGACTGTTAGAGACTGCGCATGTTTCCCCGACTGTTAAGAGACTGCGCATGTTTCCCCGACTGTTAGAGACTGCGCATGTTTCCCCGACTGTTAGAGACCGCGCATGTTTTCCGTGTTCCCTGTTAGAGACCGCGCATGTTTTCCCACACTCCCTGTTAGAGACCACGCATGTTTCCCTGTTAAGAGACAGCACACATTTTCTGTGTTCCCTGATAAGAGACCGCGCATGTTTTCCCACACTCCCTGACTGTTAGAGACTGCGCATGTTTCCCTGACTGTTAAGAGACAGCGCACGTTTTCTGTGTTCCCTGTTAAGAGACCGTGCGTGTTTTTCAATACTCCCTGTTAGAGACCGCGCATGTTTCCCATGCTCCCTGTTAGAGACCCTGCACGTTTTTCCCACACTCCGTTAGAGACTGCGCATGTTTCCCTGTTTGAGACGGCGCATGTTTCCCGTGCTCCCTGTTAGAGATTGCGCATGTTTTCTGTGTTCCCTGTTAAGAGACCCCGCGTGTTTCCCGTGCCCTCTGAGACCACACGTTTTCCATGCTCTCCGTTAGAGACTGCGCATGTTTCCCCTGCTCCCTGTTGAGAGACTGCGCATGTTTCCCGTGCTACCTGTTAGAGACCGCGCATGTTTTTCCCACACTCCCTGTTAGAGACCGCGCATGTTTCCCGTGCTCCCTGTTAGAGATTGCGCATGTTTCCCGTGCCCTCTGAGACCACACGTTTTCCGTGCGCTCTGTTAGAGACCGCGCATGTTTCCCCTGCTCCCTGTTAAGAGACTGCGCATGTTTCCCGTGCTACCTGTTAGAGACCGCGCATGTTTTCCCACACTCCCTGTTGGAGACCGCGCATGTTTCCCGTGCCCTCTGAGACCACACGTTTTCCATGCTCTCCGTTAGAGACTGCGCATGTTTCCCGTGCTCCGTTAGAGACCACACGTTTCCCCTGCTCCCTGTTGAGAGACTGCGCATGTTTCCCGTGCTACCTGTTAGAGACCACGCATGTTTCCCCACACTCCCTGTTAGAGACCCCGCATGTTTCCCTGTTGGAGACCGTGCATGTTTCCCTGTTAGAGACCGCGCATGTTTCCCGTGCCCTCTGAGACCACCCGTTTACCGTGCTCTCCGTTAGAGACTGCGCATGTTTCCCGTGCTCCGTAAGAGACCGCGCATGTTTCCCCTGCTCCCTGTTAAGAGACTGCGCGTTTCCCGTGCTACCTGTTAGAGACCACGCATGTTTCCCCACACTCCCTGTTAGAGACCGTGCATGTTTTCCCACACTCCCTGTTAGAGACTGTGCATGTTTTCCCACACTCCCTGTTAGAGACCGCGCATGTTTCCCTGTTGGAGACCGCCCATGTTTCCCTGTTGGAGACCGCGCATGTTTCCCTGTTAGAGACCGCGCATGTTTTCCCACACTCCCTGTTAGAGACCGCGCATATTTCCCTGACTGTTAGGGGCTACACACGTCTCCCGTGCTCCGTTAGAGACCACGCATGTTTCCCGTGTTCCCTGTTAGAGACCGTGCATGTTTCCCGTGCTCCCTGTTGGAGACCACGCATGTTTCCCTGACTGTTGAGAGACCGCACACGTCTCCCGTGCTCCGTTAGAGACCACGCATGTTTCCTGTGTTCCCTGTTAAGAGACTGTGCATGTTTCCTGTGCTCCGTGTTGGGGATCACGCATGTTTTCCATGCCCCTGAGACCGCACGTTTCCCTTGCCCCTGAGACCATGCATGTTTTCCGTGCTCCCTGTTAGAGACCGCGCATGTTTTCCGTGTCCCGAGACCGCGCATGTTTCCCGTGCTCTGTTAGAGACCGCGCATGTTTCCTGTGCTCCCTGTTAGAGACCGCACGTTTTCCGTGTCCCGAGACGCGCATGTTTTCCGTGCTCCCTGACCATTAGACACCTCACATGTTTTCAGGTATTTATGAGCCATGCATGTTTTCTTCTTCTGTGACTTCTGCCCATCTTTCTTTTTTTTAGAGATAGGGTCTCACTGTGTTGCTTAGCTGTTCACGAACTCCTGTTCTGGTCATTTTTCAATTTAGATATTTGTCTTTTAAAATCCTGGTTCCTATGAATGCTGCACACATTCTGAACGCATGTCCTTTGTGGCTGCAGTGGTCAGGGTAGGTAACGGTGGCTGGGATAACAGAGAACCTCCGAATCTCAGCGTCTCACTTGGGAAGGCTTCACTTCTGGCTCACATCACAATGGGGTCTTGAGGCTCTCCCGAGGGTGACTCCAGGACATGGCTCCTTCCCTTGGTGTGTGGCTTTGCCATCTCAGAGTCCTTCTCTTTCAGTCGCAGGAAGGGAGGAGAGTGAATGATCACAGAACATTCAGGAGGCCAGGCCTGGAAGAGGCGTCCATCACTCATACTCATGTTTGCAGTACAGACTGCAGTGGTACAATCACAGTTCACTGAAGCTTCCCCTTCCCAGGCTCAACTGATCCTCCTGCCTCAGCCTTCCGAGTGCAGGGGACCTAGCCGCACCCCACCACACCTAATTTTTAATTTTTATTAGAAATGAAATCTGTCTTGCCCAGGCTGCTCTCAAACTCCTGCGCTCAACTGATCCTCCTACCTTGGCCTCCTGACGTGCTGGGATTACAGGCATGAGCCACAGTGCCTGGCCTGCAAGTGCTTGGTACCTTTTTTCATGTACACGTGTATGACAGACACTGAACTGTAATTTTGATATCCAGATTATACTAGCTTCATAAGATAACACAGGGTGTGTTTCTCGTCTGGGTAAAACTGGAGTTCTCTGTTTCTTGAACTCACTTGCAAAGCACCTGGACTTGGTATTCTAGAACCATCCACATAGTCTCTGTAACAGCTGTGGGTTCTGTGGGTCTCCTCCAGCTGGGCTGCCATGTGACCTTCCTCCCAGGGTCCAGCTGTGATGGGGGAGTTCTCACTTCATCAGCACAGGGCTTTCTCACCTTCTCAGTGTCGGACGTGGCTGAACAGTCCTCCCTTCCCATTCCTAATGGTTGATTTGCTCCTCTTTTTCTTGGTCATTTTGGCAGAGGATGTCAATTTTGTCAAAGAACCAACTCTTAGCTCTTTTGTCCCCTCAAGGGTGTCTGTTGCCATTAATTGTGTTAATAAGTGACTTTATTAATTTCCTCCTTTCCATTGGAAGCTTGTTTGGCATTTTTCTTTTTGAGATGGAGTTTTGCTCTTGTTGCCCAGGCTGAAGTGCAGTGGTACGATCTCGGCTCACTGCAACCTCTGCCTCCCAGGTTCAAGCAATTCTCCTGCCTCAGCCTCCTGAGTACCTGGGATTACAGGCACGCAGCACCATACCCAGCTAATGTTTGTATTTTTAGTAGAGACGCGGTTTCACCATGTTGGTCAGGCTGGTCTTGACCTGATCCACCTGCCTCAGGATTACAGGTGTGAGCCACCAAGCCCGGCCTTCTTTTTCTACCTGTTACACCGGGTACTTCTCTCCCAACTCCCAGCTCCTCTCCTAACAGCAACAGAGGCACGCAGGGCTGGACCCTGCCCTTGGCTTCCACTGCCTCAGGTGCTCTGTTAAGTCGTGTGATCACTGAGCTTTAAGTGTTTTATAACTTACATTATGTTTTGTTTTTGACCTGGGTCATTTAAGTTTTCTCTTCCTGGAATATGAGCTTCATTTAGACAACGAAACACCAAAGCAGAGCTCAGCCTAGAAGGCCTGGCTTCAGTTCTTGGTCTTGTTGTGATGCCAGGAGTCCAACTGTCTGTGCCAAATGATAGGGGTAAAAAAGGATGGCAGACTGGTTTGGTTTGGTTGTGTGTTTTTTCTCATAACCATAAATGTTAAAAAAAATTTCCAGGCCGAGCATGGTGGCTCACGCCTGTAATCCCAGCACTTTGGGAGGCCGAGGAGGGCAGATCACTTGAGGTCAGGAGTTCAAGACCAGCCTGGGGAACATGATGAAACCCCATCTCTACTAAAAATAGAAAACTGGGTGTGGTGGTGGGCAGCTGTAATTCCACCTACTTGGGAGGCTGAGGCAAGAGAATCACTTGAACTGGGGAGGCGGAGGTTACAGTGACCCGAGATCATACCACTGCACTCTAGCCTGGGCAACAAGAGCAAAACTCCGTCTCAAAAAAAGAAAATTTCCAAGTACATTAAAAAAAAAAAAAAGTACCTTTGGCTGGACTCGGTGGCTCATGCCAGTAATCCCAGAACTTTGGGAGGCCGTGGCAGGAGGATCACTTGAGGTCAGGAGTTCAAGACCAGCCTGGGGAACATGATGAAACCCTGTCTCTACTAAAACACAAAAAAATTAGCTGGGCGTGGTGGCGTATGCCTATAATCCCAGCTTCTGAGGAGGCTGAGAGAGGAGAATCACTTGAACCCAGAGGCAGATGTTGCAGTGAGCCAAGATCGTGCCACTGCACTCCAGCCTGAGTAACAAAGCGAGACTCTGTCTCAAAAAACAAATGTATCTTTTATTTTTGAGACAGGGTCTTGAGGCAGGTCTCGAACTCCTTGCCTCAAGTGATCCTCCTGCCTCGGCCTCCCAAAGCACTGGGATTATAGGTGTGAGCCACCGTGTCTGGCCCAATGGATCTTTTGTTGCAGTTTTCCATGCTGATTTTGTGGAAGCCAGCTCCCTCATCTTCCCTGGAAAGGCATCCAACGCCGTCAGCTTGCATGGCCACCCCCTCGTGTGTGAACACACAGCTGATCTCATTAAGCACACGGGCACATGGGTGAGCTAACATGGACACGCAGTTAGCAGGACCCAGCCCTGTGCTTATGACATCACATATTAAGGCTTTGGATTCCCTGAGATCCTGTGTGGTTAAGCATTGTCAGCATCACCATTTCACACCTGGGGAAACTGAGGCAAGGGTCCCAGAGCTCCAGAGTGAAGGGTCAAGTCCACAGCCCCTGACTGAGAGCTGTGCACTTTGCCACCTACCTCCACCCTAGAAGTCAAAGCTATCAGATTAAGGTGAGTTTAGGATCAGGACCCACCTGCCCGCTACTAGAGAGGCAGAGGTGGCCCTGCCAGCTGTGCGCTGCTGCAGGCATCTCTGTGGGCAGGACCTGGGGCTGGCACTTGGTGAGGTGTCATTCCACATCTGGGGTCCATCCTATTGGACCTAAATATGGAAAAGGTATTTATTATGGCATTATTTATAATAACCTAGGTTGAAAACAGCCCACGTGCCCATGTTGGGAAGTGGAGAAGTCACCTGTGCCTTTCGATTCAACTGGTCATCGAGTGGGCATTAAAAGTAATGCTTCCCATTGGCAGTAACAGGGAAGGCGACGACCACACTATTTTTAAGTAAAATCAAACCAAATGCAGACATCACCAGGGCATCGCGCCAGTCTCTTGGGCCATGCTGACAGCTGTGTCCACATCGCCACCCTCCCTGGTGCATCCCAACAGACAGCAGAGGACGCCTGCCGTGAGCAGCTCCCTGCCCCACCCCCTGGTTTCTTTCCTGTGTCTGTGTTCCTGCGTTCCTGACTTCTGGCGCCGGCTTTTCCCTGCCAGCAGCTAATTCTGAAGGATGCTAAGACACAGAGAAAGCATGCGAGGTTGTGACAGTTCATTTTGTGTTACTATAAAGGCTGCAGGGAGGGGGAGCAGGTGCGCCACACAGCAGGAGCAGGAGCAAGAGACATGAGAGGAGGCACCAGGCTCTTTAATCCTGGAGTCCCCAACCTCCAGAGTGGCCCATGGCTAGAAGAGGCCGCACAGCAGGAGGTGAGTGAGCACTGCCCCCTGAGCTCTGCCTCCTGTCAGATCAGCAGCAGCAGCTTCTCACAGGAGCGTGAACCCCACTGTGAACTAGGGATTGAGGCTGCATGCTCCTTATGAGAATCCAATGCCTGATGATCTGAGGCAGAACAGTTTCATCCTGAAACCACCCACTCTCCCTCTCCATGGAAAAAACTGGTCCCAGGTGCCAAAACGGCTGGGTACCACTGCTTTAAAGAACTAGTGCTCACATGAACCTAGAGCGAGAACTCCCTGCTGTGAGGAAGGCACCAAGCCATTCCTGATGGACCTGTCCCCAGGACCCAAATGCCTCTGGCCAGGCCCCTTTCAGCCTGGGGATCACATTTCCACATAGGATCTGGAGGAAACAGAAGTCCAAACTACAGGGTGAGCTCTAATACACCCTTCACCTAGGACAGGGTCGGCAAGCGATGGCACTCAGGCCAAATCCGGCCCACCTACTTTTGTAAATAAAGTTTTGTTGGCACACAACGGCACTCGTTCACTCGTATGTCATTTATAGCTGCTGGTGTCCTACACAGCAGGGTGGAGTGATAAGGCACAGGCCGTATGGATTCAGTGCCAGGAATATTTACTGTCTGACCTTTTATTGGAAAAGTTTGCCAACATGTGGTCTAATTCCCCAGTGACTGACATTTAGCAGTCTCCTCTCACTCTTGGGGTACATAGGCAAACACTGCTGGAGTGAACTGCAGATGTCATGCTCCACAGCCGAGAGCCTCAGTGTGCATCCACAGTAGGAGGACGTCCGTGAGGACCGCCCATCTCTGCTGAGCTGGCGCCGAGTGTGCCTGGTCTACACTCAGCTCTGCCAAACGCCCCAGCACAGTCCTTCACAGCAACTCTTCCCATCCAGGATCACACATCACGTGTGCTTTGATGCCTGCTTGTGAACAGTGTCAGCTCCTGAGATGGCTATTCTGACAGTGCGGGTCTTCCTCTCCTGGTGACAGCTGGCTGAGGCCGTCTGGCCTTAGGACATACTGGAAACAGCTGCATAAGGACATCCGGGGCAGGGGGCCCACCAGGACGTTCTGTCCTGTGGGGGGCAATGCTGGCCGTGGTCCTTGGTAGCATCCAGGGACACTCTATCCAGGTGAGGCTGAGGCTGCACCCCCTCGCTCTCTCATCCCCATGCTGAGAGCAGTGGGCTGACCACAGCCCCAGGGAGCCCCATGGGGAGACTGGCTTCCTCCGCACATGCCCAGCAGTGTGAGACGTGGTCGCCACAGAGGCAGGTACAGAACACCATAGGATGTGGACACCACCTAGCCCCCACTGGGACCGTGGGCCACTGAGAAGCCACAAAGGCCGTGCTTTTGGCAGTGACTGCAGCAACAGGACCTTCAGGAGGCCACAGGTGCATGGCTCCCCTCTGGTGGTTTACCTGCCCAGCTATGCCCAGGGTCACCCCTCCAGCAAGGTCCTGAGGGCAGAACACCCCCTAGGCAACAGGACTGATGAGGGACAACACAGCCTCCCCCCAAACAAGGAAAGGCCTTGCAGGTGAGTGCAGCCGCACCTGAGTCTGGGGTGTGGCGGGGGTGGGGCCTTCCAGGTGGACCAGCCTGCCTGGGTCCACAGCCAGCCCAGGCACTAAGTGTTGCCTGACCTCAGAGAGCCCTGCAGCCATCTGGGAGATGCTGCCCTGCGATCTGGGAGGTGCAAGCAGGTGCCAGGTGGGCTCTGGGAGGTGCAAGCAGGTGCCAGGTGGGCTCTGGGAGCTGCTGTAGAGAAAGGGAACCAGGCCAGAGGCAAAGCCAGTGTTGCTCTGGGATTTAGGGGAGTTTTATTTTCCAGTTCTAGGCTATTTCTATTTCTGTGGAGAAAGGGAGGTGAGAGACACATCTGTCACTGCAGCCCCCGGGCAGTGGGCACAAGACAGGCCCGGTAGCCTCCCCACGATACTGCAAGTGGCAGCACTCAGGACCGCCTGCCACGGAACAGGCTCCTCTGGGCAGGCCAGCAGCAGGAGTGACTGGGAGAAGAGACACGCTCTGCTGTGGAATGTGCTTCCAACACCTCTGAGTACAGGGATTGAAGCCTCCCCCTAGTGGGAGGGGAGGCCTGCCAAGGGGCTCCCTTTCCGAGTGACCCCACGGTGGCTGAGCTGGCATGGGGCCTACACAGGTGGGCAGGAACATTACGGCTCTCAGAAAGACTGCGGCCGTAAAAATGTGTTAATCTAGTGAACGTTTCTACCCGGACACGACTGTTCTCCATCACCTGGGTAGTGTCCCCTACTTGGTTTCTGAGACTGCTCAGTGGACAAGGCCAAGGCCATTTCCAGCTCGAATCAGGACTCCCCTTCCAGGATAGAATCCCCAGACTAGGGCTGTGATTAGGGTTTCACGTTTCAATAGCTAAAAGCACAGGTGCCAGCGTTTCCCAGTAAAAAGCCTATTGCCTCCCAGTTGACAAAGTCATTAGCTACTCTCTTCTGAACCACTCCCACTCCGCTCCTGGATGGACCCCAAGGGTGGCACAGGGCTGTGGACTTGCCCATGGTGGGACATGACTGGGTGCAGGCACGCAGAAGTGGAACTAACCTGAATGATGGGCTGGTTCGTGGGGCTGGGGCCCACTGCCCACATTGGAAGACCGAGTGGCAGACGCAGGCTGGACTGAGCTGCCGAGGGCACCCCGGGGGCCTCACCAGGTGGCTGGGGCAGGAAACTCAGCCAGTAGCGGTGTCCAAGGTCCTGAGGAGCCTTTGTCCCAAGAAGTCCATCCAGGTAAGTCAGGCAGCCTGTCTGGGATGAAGGATGGGCCAAGAGGGCACGTCGTGTGGCCCAGTTCTGGGGACGGGGGTCTGAGCTCAGGGACTGGTGCTCCAGTCAGAGGAGAGAAGCCAGAGAACCAAGCACAGTTTGGGCACAAAGGCAAGGCAGGGACGAGCAGCCTCAGGCTCTGAAGCTGGCCAGGCAGGGACGAGTGGCCCCGGGCTCTGAAGCTGGCAAGGCAGAGAGGAGTGGTCCTGGGGCTTGCTGCAGGGCTTGGGGCCCCAGCAGGTGGGGAGTCCACAGACTGGGGCCTTCAGGGGCAGATAAAAGGCTTAAGCAGAGTGGATGTTACAGGCAGGCAGCAGCGGGAAGTGGTGGGTGCCCAGCACACCAGGAGCCTCTCCTGCTGGGCACTGTGAGGTGACCCAAGCCCATCCCGTGGATGGCAGTGAATACACCTGATGAGCCTCTGGTGGCTTCCACATGACTGCAGCGTCTTGATCTAGAGATTCTCTGCAGTGGGAAGGTCTCTCACTCACTCAGGCATTCTCACCTCTGACCAGGCTGATTTTCTGGGGGTCCCCCACAGCACAGAACACAGCACACATGGCCCAGCACCTCCACCAGATGCCCAACACCAGGGAGCCACGGAGCAGGCGTCCGAGTCTGCAGGTGGTGGCCCCAGCTCAGGGATTCTTCCGAGGGTGGCGTTTCCGATGACGGATGAGACAGGAGCTGTAGGCAAAGGCTTTCCCACAGTCCACGCACTCATATGGCTTCTCCCCGGTGTGCGTCTTCTGGTGTTTCAGGAGATTGGAGCCGCAGTTAAAGGCTTTCCCGCACTCCCCGCATTTGAAGGGCTTCTCCCCCGTGTGAGTCCGCTGGTGTTTGGTGACGTCAGAGCTGTGTCGGAAGGCCTTCCCGCACTGCGCACATGTGAAGGGCTTCTCTCCGGTGTGGACCCTCTGATGGCGAATGTGGTCTGTCTTGTGCTTAAAGATCCGCCCGCATTCACCGCACTCGTAGGGTTTCTTCCTCTGAAAAGGAATGAACACGGGAACCCCCTCAAAGTCGTCTTTAAATGAAGCATCGAAGGCATCAAAGATGTGCTCTTCGTCTTCAGGACTCAGGCGGGGCTCTGCTCGGGGCTTCCTGGGCACAGCGGGTCTCTCAGGTGGCTTCCTATCCCTGGACGCTTTCTCCTCTCTGAGCACGCTCTTCTGCCCGTCTGCTTCCTCCCTTGGGGTTGCTGTCCTTTTTCTTCTGCTTGCAGATTTCTCCATCGTTCTCTGTTCCTTGGAAGCGTTGAGGGCTAGGGGGCTGCTGGCTTCTCTCTGCTGGCGCCACTTCCTCAAGGACGGTTTGCTTCCCACGCACCTCTCCACGCTCGCAGCATGGGGCCAACACTCTGCAGGAGGCCAAGGGCCACCATCCCCTTGCTGCTGGGGAGAGAAGCAAGAACATGGATTTCAGATGAAAAGGTCACCTTTCAGGGGCTGTGGGGTTCTGGTGCAGCCCCTCCCTTCCCATGTGATCCCCAATGAGTGACTCAAACAGAATAGCTGACTTCGCCAGAGCCCCACCTGACTCACTCTCCCGGCCTTTCCCTGTGTTGGTGAAGGGATCAGTGGCTCACCAAGGAATCCTTGCTCCTCTGCCAGGGTTCGGGTTCTGCATGCCGTCAGGATCTGATGCCCCCACCGACTGCCTTGCGGCTTCCCTCCTCCACCCCCGAGTCGCCCTGGTTCCTGCCCTAGTCTCCTTCTCTACCATCCCGAGCTGGGATCAGTCACCGTGCTTTGGAGTTATGGCTGCAGGGGCCACACGCTCCCAGAGGAAGCTGGGTTCCGAACTCATGAAACCACGGCTGCCCCTGCCCCCACCCCCGCCACGGCCCACAGCAGCCGGCAGACCCCCTTGTGTCACATCCCGGCTCAGACTCCCGGTGGTGTCCCTCACACCATGGGCCCCATGTGGCCTGGGGCCACACCCATCCCTTGGGGACCCCCTTGCCATCCCAGCCTTCTTTAGGTTCGCCAAACACACCTAATCTCTCCTGCCTCTCCTGGCTGGTCCCTCAACTTTCTGCTCTGATGCCCCCTTCTTAAGGAACCGTCCACTGTCAGCTTCCCTGCCCAACTTTTCCTCCCAGCACGAGAGTGGCTAAACTCCTCTGGGTGGTTTGCTCTCTGTTCCAAAGCCATGCCATGGCTCCTGGCGCACCAAGGTTCCTTGTCAAATATTAGTTGAATAACTGAGAAATCACAACAGCAGCTGTCACTTGGAGTATGTAGAGTATGTCCCCTGCTCTAAGCTCCTCACAAATCTCCATATAATTAATCTCATCTTCAACACTCCTTCCCCAGGTCACACTTGAGGCAGCGCTGGGATGCCCAGGCCTGTTCTCACTCAGATGCAGGCTGCAGCCCTGGGGACTGTTGGCTGGCACTTGACTTGCATTGTTTGAAGGTTACCCCACAGAAATGTCTCTTGCTAGCACTCAGGGGGAAGAGAGATGTCTGTCCCTGTCCATGATGCCATCTAATCACAGCCCAATCTTGCCATGAGTCCAGTAAGAATCAGTCAACCCCAGCGGCCAAAGGAGACGGGAAAGGGGCGACGTGGAAGCCTCAGCCGCAGGCCCTCCCTCCACTGTGGAGCCCTGCTCTGTGCTGTTTCGGGGCTCCCTTCACCTGCCCTTGCCTCTCAGTGGCAACAGAATCCCAGTGGAAAGCCTTGGAAAAACTCCAGGCTCCAAGCTGCTGGTGAAAGAAATCTCTGAGACTGTGGGAAACACTGCTTCCTCGGCAGCTCCAGGGAAAGCAGACAGCGTTCTGACTTCAAATCATTCCTGCCGAGAACGCCAGGAGCCCCTGGGACTGAGAAGCTTCCTCTCATCCACCAGGATGCCGATCATTGTCACCACCGCCTTACCCCATAGCTGCGTTCTTTCTCTTCTTGAGACAGGTTCTTCCTGATGTCTTGGCTAGAGTGCAGCAGCATGACTGCAGCTCACTGAAGGCTCAAGCTCCTGGGTTTAAGCGATCCTCCCACCTCAGCTTCCTGCGTAGCTGGGAGTCCAGGTGTGAGCCACCATGCTCAGTCGTATTCTAAGTAATACAATTATTGCGTACCCTTTGTATTAGCTGTTTTGTTAAACAGGCTAGAGTTTGAAGCCAGGGTTGAGCCTAAGTGGAAAATGGAATTGAAACACATGTTGCAAATGACATGTTTCAACACATAAATACCTTGAATGCTCTTTGTTGAGACAAGGTTTGTGGCCTTTCCTCTTCTCCCTCAGGAGTGCAGGTAACATGTAAACAGATTTCCTGTCTCAACAAGGGGAGAGTCTGGTCTTTTTTACAGGAAAATGTTTAGATGAATGTGACTCAGTTTCAGGCCAACGTCACTTTCTAGGGCTCTCTCTAGAGGTGGTGTATGGGTGGAGTCAGAACCAAAGCTGAAGGCCACGTGTGCTGAGGGAGGATGCAGCATCTCTGCTGGGGTGGGCAGGCGGAGCCCTGGGGCCCAAGCTGGCTGGAGTTTGAGGCTGGGGTCCAGCTCTGGTAGGAAACAAAGGTGAGAACCAAGAACCAACACAAAAGACCCGTCGACCAGCTCCGTTTGCCTCATGGGCAGGGCTGAGGTGGAGAAGCGCAGCTCTGCAGGTACGGCCTAACAGGGGCCAGCTAGCTGTGCCAAGGCCTGAGATCCCAGGCCTCTGAGCCAGGCGGAGGGGCCCGCCAGCGTCTCCTGCGTGCTCCTACTTAAGAGGTCCCGCGGCCAGCGTGCGGAGCCAGGTCGGCCTCGGTGCCGGGGCCGGGGCCTGGGAGGTGCTCAGAGTCGGGTTTCGCTCCCTCCCTGGAGGGCCGGGCGCGGGGAGACCGCGGGGCCCATCCCGACGCCGCGCTACCTGGGACGGAGGCGACGGGCGGGGGCCCAGTGAGTACCTGGCTGGAGGCGAGGGGCGATGAGGACCTGCCGCTGCAGAGCGCGGACGCTCCCGGGCCCTACCAGGACTGCCGGAGGGCGGGGCGGGGCGGGCGCGCCCCTCGCGGGGGCAGAGGACGGGAAAGGCGCACCCTCTTCGCGGGACCCACGACCCCTCCGCGCCCGCGTCCCGGTTGGCCCTCAGCACTCGCAGAAAGAGCCCGCCTGCTGACCCGCCCCTTCCGGCGGCCGCTCTAGGACCCCGGGTCGCACTCGGTGGTAATGGGCGGTGGAGGGCCCGGCCCGAGCTGGCTCCACCCACAGACGACTCAGCCCCCGAAGGCCCCGCCCCGATCAGACACCTCACTCTCAGGTTCCGCCCCTAACCGCCGCCGCAGGTTCCTCCCCGAGCTGACCCCGCCCCCTCACAGTCCTCTATGGCAGGCGTCCTACCGAACGCCCCGCCCCAAGCAGGCTCTGCCCGAAGCGGGCCCCACCTCCGAAAGCTCCTCCCCGAGCCGGCTCCCCCTACGCCCCACCCCCTCTGGCTCCGCCCTCATTCCCCGCCCCTGAGAGGCCCGCTCCCGAAAACTCCTGGAGCCGGCTCCCCCTCATGCCCCGCCCCACAGGCTCCGCCCCCATAGCCCGCCCCTGAGAGCCCCACCCCGAATTGGCACCCTCATGCCCCGCCCCACAGGCTCCGCCCCCGCGCCCCACAAGGCCCCGCCCCCGCAGCAGCCGGCCCCGCCCGTAGGTTACATCCACCGGCTTCCCAGGCCTGACGCGCGTGGGATTCTGGCTCCTGAGCCACAGCCGGGAGGTCGCGGCCGCGTGCTGGGAGCCTTGAACCTGAGGACGCTCCCCGCCAACCCCCCAGCCCTGCCCCCGACCCCGCGGCGCCCACCGCGTGCCTCCGCGGGAAGGCACTGCCTCAGCCTCTCCGCTCCTCCGGGCACCACCCCCACCTTCTCTGGCGCGCGCCCGGGCGAGCTGCCCCCCACCCCGCGGTCCCCGCTGCTTCTCCCGCCGCGGTAGCCCCTCGGGAACCCAGCCACTGGCTGCGCTCACGCCACGTCCTGCCCGCCCAGGTCGCGCCGCGCCGCCAGGCCCGCCGGAGCCCGTGTGTCCGTTTCCTCCGTACGCAAGCTGGGTGGCCTGAAACGACACCCGCCTGTTACCTCGAGCCTTCTGTGGGCCTGCAGGCCAGGCTTAGCTGGGTCCTCAGCTCAGGGCGGCCGCCGTGGTCTCACTTGGACGCTGGACTGGGGAAGGATCGTTTCCCAGCTCATGCGGTTGCTGGCGGAAGGCACTTCCTGGTGCCGCTAGGGCCGACGGCCAGGAGCTGGTCTCAGCTCCCCGGGGCTGCCTGCTGGTCCCTGCTGTGTGGTCATCCGCGAGGGTGGGCGGTTCACCGGCTGGCCTCTTCCCAAGGGTCTGCTGGAGAGCCCCACCCCCAGATGGAGTCCTATGGAACACCCCTAATCATGGGTGATGAGCCACCCACCCCCTTCACCCACTTCTACTCAGAGTGAAGTCACAGGTGCCAACTGTAGCCAAGGGAAGGATGGGGATGGGGCTGGCTCCAGGGGCTCACCTTAGGACATCCGCAGCATTCTACCCCCACAACAACCCTTCCCATTTACACTTTGCACATAGTTTCCTTACTTTATTTATTATTAATTATCCCCCACCCCCACACACTCCTATGCAAATCAGCCCTGGGAGGGCAGCCACCTGTTCTGGGTCTTCATGTCCTGTGGACCGAGTGAATGTGGGTGGAGATCTTAGGTGCTGCCGGTGCAGTAGGACCCTGGGAACCGCCTGCCCACACCTGGCCCTCTCTCCAGCTGCCTCCTGGACTTAGCAAGGTGTTGAAAACCAGACAGTTCTGCTTCCTCCCTCCTAGTCCCACCCCCTCTCTCATCCTGTTGCTTTTACCTCCCAATGTTTTAAACCACCGCCACCCCCCACATCCAGGCTGCTTTCTCTGTCCTGGCTGGAGCCCCGTCTCCTCTCCCCAGCACTACTTTGCTGCCCTGCCCCAGGGTCTACCTGCCTTCATTTGGGGTCCCCTGTCCACCCCCCACCACCCCCCACAGCTTGAGGGACTGATTTATAGGGCAACTGGCAGTGGCCCTCCCAGCTTCATGCCTGTCCTGCAGGATGAGGCCTGGGTCCCCTTAGCAGCTGCACTGGGGCCTGCACGGACTTGCAGGCTGCCCCTCACACCACCCTTTCCTCTCCCAGGAGACTCAGCAGCAAGCACATGCCCTGCCACAGGCCACTGGCCGTGTGCCCCGGCCCTGGGCCTTGAACACCGCCCCCCCCCCCCGCCTCCGCCTGAAAGACCCTTTCCTACTTTTTAAAACTCCACCTGTTCAAGCTCCTCTGTGCCAGCCCCGGCCTTGTCCCGACTGGCCTCAGGCTGAGGGTGCGTGGATATTTGTCCCCACAGGTTACGTGATGCACGTGACAGCTCTGTAAGAAAAGTCGCATCTGTGTCCCAGGTCCCGGCTGCAGCCAGATGACAGAGAGATTGGAAATAGAAAGTTGTAAAGAAACACGCCCCCAGCTGGTGGCTCATGCCTGTAGTCCCAGCTGCCGGGAGGCTGAGGCACGAGAATAGCTTGAACCTGGGAGGTGGAGGCTGCAGTGAACCGGCATTGCACCATAGCACTCTAGCCTGGGCAATGAAGTGAGACTCAGTCTGAGAAAAAGAAAAAAGAAACATGCCCCAAAATACATTCCCGACCATGCATCCTCACAGACCGACGCTTCACAGCCATGTCTGTATGCGTGAGGACACAGCCATGGGCCCTGGTACTTGCTGTCTGTCCCCCTGCTAGGTCAGTCCCTCTGCTGCAGACAGCAGGGCACGCCTGCCAACCTTCCTTCAGACTTTCGAGGCAGCTCTCCTGAGGCTGTGCTGCAGTGATTTTCTTACAGAGCTGCAAGGAACACAAAGTGAAAGTGGTCAGTGAAAACGAAATGGTTCTATTTTGAAACATGGGGCACAACGCTTGGCCACTCCTCCAGTCCAGAGACAGAACCTCACTCACCTCCTTGAATGTGGCCTGGGCTGGGTGACTCATTTCCACAGTCGGAATAAAGTGAGGTCCAGACAGAGCGACTTCAGACACAGGTCCTGAGGGGCTCCGTGGCGTTTGACTGCTGTCACCCTCTGGTCACTTGCTCTGGTAGAAGCCGGCCACCATGGTGTGAGCAAACCCAGAAGCTGATGGAGACGCTCACGTAGTGAGAAACAGCTGCATGTGGAGCCGTCGTGGGAGCCAGCCCTGGTGGAGCCCTCAGATTACCTAGCTCTGGCTTACACTCCCATCTTACAGATAAGGAAACTGAGGCACAGAAAGGCTAAACGTCTTGCCCAGGACCAGACAGCAATACAGAGGCAGTGCTGGGATCTGAGCGAGGGCGGCCTGGCTCCCAGGCCCACGCACTCATCCCTACCCCCAGCCCACTCAACATGGTGGGGCCACTGTGTTCGTCACGCTCCATGGCCTTCCTCCTTCTGCCAGCTGCATAGAGCAGGTGTGGACAAGAACTGGGCCCTGTGCCATACTCAGAACGGTCTCTGCCTTGGAGAAGCAAGAGGCAGCACTGGTCTCCAGGGACAGGTGGGCTGATGTCAAATATTGGCTCCACAGCTTTCTTGCTGTGCAAATCAGCCTGGTCTCCTCCCACGGCTATGAAAAGGTCTGTTTTTCTTTTCTTTCTTTTTTTTTTGGCGAAGAGGTCTGTTTTAAGATTATTTTTGTCATAGCGATTATTCTTCTTGGGACCCTCAGTGGGGGTGAGCTGTGGTCTTGAGCCAGCCGAGCGGCATGACTCTGGGTCCAGGGAGCTGTCAGGGAAGATGCAGGAGCCCTGTGTCTGTGGGGGAGGCAGACACCTGGCCTCACAATGCTGAGGCCACCCACATCATGGTCCAGGAGAGAAGGGATCCTTGGAAGAAGAGGAGACCTGGGCACAGGAGGAGAGGGACCCGAACCACAGTGCCTGGGGGAGGGTGGTACAGGTCCACCAGAGATCTCGGCAATAGGCTGCATCGCTGGGTAGGAATGTGGGCAACAGGCAGGGGTGGCTGCACCAGGGTCCCCAGCACCTGAGGGAGGTCTGTGTGACACAGGTTTCTGTGTGGCCTTGGGGCAGATTTACAGGGCAACCCAGCACATGTAGTTGAGACAGGGCTTCTGTGCCTCTGGCGGTCATGTGACACCGGCTGGGGATCCCTCCGGGGTGTGTGATGGTGGAACTCACAGATGCCTGGCCTCCACTGCACACTCGTGCACCCCAGCGTCCTCAGAGGTAGCTGCTGTCACAGCATGAGGGAGAACTGGAGCAGCGTGGCCACCTGAGGAACGCGGCCAGGCTGTCTGGCCTTGTGGCCCCAGGGCGCGAGGGCAGAGCGCAACAGTGGGTGGCCACCAGGAGGCGAGCCCAGCGGCTGGCGTACAGCATTCGCACTGGTGGGGAGCTGTCTCGGCCTTTCGTCCATCCTCCCTGTGTCCAGGGCTGGCCCTCCCAGGGTGGCACCAGGCATAGCCTATCAGCTGGGTGTTCATGAAGCTGGTGGCCTGGGCCCCTTTACGGAAACATAGGAGCGGGTTCCCATGTTGGGAGAAGCAGCAAAGGAGGAAGGACTTACAGATGCCTACGTAAATTGGTTATGAATAACATATACACAGAAACAGCCAACTGCAAAGGCCGCAGGAGGCCTCTGAGGAGGAAGGCCTCCCCATGCCTCGCATTCTGTGCAGGGTGACCTCGGCTCCATTACCATAAATGTGCTCAAGGACATAAAACCCCTTTGTAGCACTGTGACCAAGCCAGACTTGCAGGCTCCTTGTAAGGCCCTGGTTCCATCAGCTGCATGTAGATACCAGGCTAAAGATAACCATGTGTTCTTGTTTGTGAAACTCTTGAAACTGCCACTGTTATCAGCCTTTACAATGACACAGCAGTTCCGGCTCACTGATTCACCCCACCATCAATCACATCACCCTCTCCCCGCCATCACTCCACCCCTACCCCACAGATCAAAGTGACTGTAACCAATACATGGTGTGGATGATCAGAGCCTGGGGCCTTCCTGCCTCCTCCAGTAATGATGATGGTCCCCTGCTTCCACTTTCTCTCTTAATCTGTCTTTTCCTCATACCTTTGTTGCCACCGAACCGGGGTATCCACAGGTGATGCAGAGCTGGCTCCCTACATCCCCGGTTTTCCCATGCCAGTTGAAACCAGTCAGTACATACTTTCTGATTTCTGCAGGGTCAAAACACACAATAAAACAAAACCAAACCCAGACTCAAACCACAACAGCAAGGCCGGCACTGTGGCTTGCACCTGTGATGCCTGCACTTTAGGAGGCCGAGGTGGGAGGATCACTTGAGCTCAGAAGTTCTAGACCATTCTGGGCAACACAGTGAGACCCTGTCTCTACAAAAAAATCAGCCAGGTGTGGTGGTGTGTGCCCGTGGTCCCAGCTGCTTGGGAGGCTGAGGTGGGAGGATGGCTGGAGTCAGGAGGTCCAGGCTGCAATGAGCCGAGATCACGCCACTGCACTCCCACCTGGGTGATGGAGTGAGTCCCTGTCTCTGAAAAATGAAAAATTAAAAAACAAAGCAGCAACAATAGCAAAGGCACACACAACCTGGCTTCGCTCTCATGGAGCTCAATTGCCTTGGGTGTTCTTCCAAGCCGACTCAGCTTCGAGCTCTGAGTCCCTTGCATTCTGTCCACCCCTGGGTCTCCTGGGCCTAAGTCCTGACATGTGAGCTGACATGTGAGTCAAGGCTGGAGTGCAGTGGTGCAATCTTGGCTCACCCCAACCTCCGCCTCTTGGTTCGAGCGATTCTCCTGCCTCAGCCTCCTGAGTAGCTGGGATTACAGGTGTCCGCCACCATACCCAGCTAATTTTTATAGTTTTAGTAGGGATGGGGGTTCACCAAGTTGTCCAGGCTGGTCTCAAACTCCTGACCTCAGGTGATCCACTGGCCTTGGCCTCCCAAAGTGCTGGGATTACAGGCATGAGCCACCACACCTGGCGAAGTGCCTCCCTCTCTAGGGGGCAAGGGGCTGGGGGCCGGGGGTCCCCCAGCATGTTCCCACTGCATGATGGGCCCTCCTTTTGGGACGGGTCTTCAATGCCCGGGGAGGGCTGACCTGTGCAGAGCCTTCCATGCTGTCTGCCATGGCCTCCCTGCAGTGGGCTCCAGGGGTCCCATGGGCACCTGGCACCCAATTCTCCACCGGATGCCAACAGGCTCCCCCTCCAGCGGGGCTCCCTGAGGCTCCGTCACCAGCTTTTATTAAAAATAGTCTGCCTTTAGTTTTTAATTAAAAATTGTAATGAGGTTCGTGTCGATTCACATAGGTTGTAAGAAATGACAGAGACATTCATTGTATGCTTCGCTCAGTTTCTTCCAAGGATAACCTTTTTTTTAAGACGAACTCTCACTCTGTCGTCCAGGCTGGAGTGCAGTGGCATGATCTCGGCTCACTGCAGCCTCCACCCCCCAGGTTCAAGTGATTCTCCTGCCTCAGCCTCCCATGTAGCTGGGATTACAGGTGACTGCCACTACATCTGGCTAATTTTTTTTTTTTTTTGTATTTTTAGTAGAAATGGGGTTTCACCCTGTTGGTCAGGCTGGTCTCAAATTCCTGACCTCAGGTGATCTGCCCACCTTGGCCTCCCAAAGTGCTGGGATTACAGCGTGAGCCACCGTGCTGGCCCAAGGATAATGTTTTGCATGACTGTGGTGCAGTATCACACCCTTCTCTGTGGGGAGGGGCATTTGGGAGCCCTGGCAGCCACTCATCCGTTCTCTCCGTTTCCAGAATTGTCACTTCAGAGTGCTGTGCGGAGCAGGTCGTCCTGGAGGTCACCTGCTGAGAGGACTCTTTGACTGACAGACTCTCTGGCTCCCCCGGCGGCTGTGGCTTTCAGCAGTGCTTCCTTCCTGTGGCCGAGCTGTCTCCCCTGACCACGGACCCAGCTGAACCTCTCCTCACTGAAGGACATCTGGACTGCGTCCCAGGTTCTGGCTAAAACAAGTAAAGCTTCTATGAACATGCACGAGCAGGTGTTTGTATGAATATGACTTTCATTTCTCTGGGGCTTGATCACGGGGTCATGGAGTTGCACGTCTAGTTGATAAGAAACGGTCAAGCGGTCTTCCAGGGCAGCCGTGCCACCGTCCGTCCACTCCCAGCAGCAGCGCATAGGGGACCCAGCTTCTCTGCCTCCCCATCAGCACGTGGGGTGGTCATGGTTTATTTATTTATTTAATTTGTTTATTTTTATTTTTTGAGATGGAGTCTTGCTCTGTCATCCAGGCTGGAGTGCAGTGGTGCGATCTCGGCTCACTGCAGACTTCACTTTCCAGGTTCAAGCGATTCTCCTGCCTCAGCCTCCTGAGTAGCTGGGATTACAGGCGCCTGCCACCACGCCTGGCTAATTTTTGTATTTTTAGTAGAGACAGGGTTTCACCCTGTTGGCCCGGCTGGTCTCGAACTCTTGACCTCAAGTGATCCACCCGCTTTGGCCTCCCAAAGTGCTGGGATTACAGGGTGAACCATGCACCAGCCAGTTTATTTTTTATTTTAGCCATTCTGATAGGTGTAAAATGAGACCAAACTGTGAATTTTTTGTTTGTTTGTTTGTTTAGAAACAGGGTTTGTTATGTCGCCCAGGCTGATCTTGAACTTTGGGGCTCAAGCGATCCGCCCGCCTCAGCCTCCCACGTCCTGGGATTATACTTGTGGCCACTGCCACAGCCTTGCCGTGGTTTTTGGTCCGAACTTTGAAGGTGCCTGGTGCTGAACATCTCTTCCTGTACACGTTTGCCTTCTGCGTGCCCTCGTCAGAGAAATAGCTCTTCACGTCCTTTGCCCATGTTGTAAGTGGGTTGTTTTTGTGCTGTTGAGTTTGGAGATACATCATGAATAGATTGTAGGTTCCAGTCCACTGTCCGCTCTGCCATTTGCAAACATTTTCTCCCAGTCTGTGGTTTGTCTTCTTGCTCTTCCATGGGTATTTCGTGGAGCAGTTTTTACGTCAAGGAGGCCATCCTCTGCTGGGTTCCCACCCTCCTCCCAGTCATGGGATGTCCCAGCCGGGAGCCAGGTCCACAGCGGCAGTGAAAGGATCACCCTTGCCCCATAAGGTCTCTGCTGCCAGAAGCCTAAGTGTCAGGCAGCTCTCCCACCTCCTGACATCTGGAAGCCCCCTGCGCCCTGTGGTGTCCAGCGTGGAACTAGCTGAACCCCTTTCCCCTCCCACCTTCAGACCCTCGAGGGCAGGAGCCCCTGGCTGTGCACAAGCCTGAGGCCGGCCAGAAGGTGCATGACCTGCTTCCATGACAGGAGCCGGGGACACCTCCCTCCTCTGGAAAGTTCCCGATACTGGCATCTCCCATCAGGGACCTGAGTGCTGGAGCTGTGGCCTCTCCCTGCTTCCTGCAGAGCTGACCATCCGGTGACCATCAGCTTCTGTAGACCTCAGTAGTCTCAGGAAGGCATCCCTAGGGTCTGTCTGTGATAAAAGACAGAGGCTCCTTCCTCAGGAATTTCCTGTTTTGGGGACACTGACTCATTCTCCAGCGAGTTCCCACAAGGAAACACAAAGAACAAGGAGCTGGAGGCCCAGCCGTGGACGCCCACTTCCTGTCCTGGGGGGCAGGAAATCCCCAGGAAGACACCAGATTAAATCAGATCTGCACACCCCATCACTTCCTCTGGGTGAGTGGAGAAGAGCAGGTGACCCAGGAGAAGGGGCATGGGCACAGGACACACTTGGTCTGGGCAGGTGACCCGGGTGTGGGGTATGGGGATGGGACACATTCGGTCTTGGTAGATGACCCTGGGGTGGGGCGTGGAGATGGGACACGCTGGGTCTGGGAAGGTGACTTAGGGGAAGGAGCCTGGGCACAGGACACACTTGGTCTGGGCAGGTGACCCAGGCGATGAGGTGTGGGCACGGGATGCACTTGGTCTGGGCAGGTGACCCAGGCAATGAGGTGTGGGCACGGGACGCACTTGGTCTGGGCAGGTGACCCAGGGGATGAGGTGTGGGCACGGTACACGCTTGGTCCAGGCAGGTGACCTGGGAGTAGGGTGTGGGCATGGGATTCACCCGGTCCAGGAAAGTGACCCAGGGGTGGGGCGTGGAGATGGGACACACTGGGTCTGGGCAGGTGAACTGGGGGAAGGGGCAAGGGCACAGTACACAGTCTGAGCAGGTGACCCGGGGGAAGGGACTCCTGGCTTGGATAAATAACCGGGTGACGATGTAGCTCCCAGCAGTGTGCTTTGCCCCCAGGGCCCTGGCCTGCACCCACCTTCAGCTTGGCTCCTCCTTCCTCCTCCAGGCTGCACTGTTCTGTCTGGACTGACCCCTCATGGTGCCAAGCTCTTGGATCTCTGCCCATAGTAGAAAAGTTTATTTTTAAAGTTTCCTTTCTTTTAAAGAATAAGTGTGCTAATAACTTTGTTAAGCCCTATCCTGTGTAGCTGTTAGACGTGCCATACTTATAGGCACGTGGTAGGCTCTATGTCCTTGTACTTTAACCAAGATATCTGTGCTGGACGTGCTCACAGGCATGTCCCTGGTCTCCACTGCTTTTACCTGTTTAGAAAAGTTGAAAGTTGTTAGCCAATTGGGTTTTGGTTTAGATTGTGAGGTCTGGCTCCAGCCAATGGAGATCAGACACAGCAGTAAGGACGACCCCAGATGCATAAGGAACAAATGTGTCTGTTTTCCTTTGTTCATGGTACTCTCATGGCACGATGGCTAGTGAGGGTGCCCTTCCTGCAGCCCAGGAGGTAAAGATCGCGTTGCTGGAAGATCCTTCGTCTCAGGGCTGATTTTTCTTCATGGCACTGAGCATCTATTTCCATCCGTCAATCAGTCAATCAAAGGGAGTTAGCTGGGAGGGTGGTGTGGGAGGAAACAGCAAGTGCTGAGAAAACAGCGGAGGGGAGGGGTGGGCCCAGGTGTTCTGGTGCCGCTGGACCAGGCCCCGTGGATCCTGCAGGGGATGGAGCCCGAGGTCAGATGTGGGTGCCGGTGGTCCTGCTACTGGCCAGGTCGTGGTGAAAGCTGAGCCTGGAGGAGGCAGAGGCACCATAGGTCAGGTCAGTGGCCAGGCGGTGCTTGCCGGCACTGTCCGTGGTTCTGAAGGAGACTTTGTGATCTTGCCTGAGGTGCTGAGGGTCCGGGAGTCCTGTGGGGCTCACAGACACAATGGTAAAGAGCCATGTGCCAGCAGGCAGCCTCTAGCCTGGCTGTTGGGAAGCCTAGGCTGACCCCACACTCATTCCTGTCCAATCCGTTTATCCTCAAGCCCTCCCAGGCATGACGGCACTATCTCATGGCACTAGCCTCTCCGTGCCAGCACTGTCACCTCCATAAATTAAATGCCTTGGGTGCAAAGTCGCACGCAACTGTTTCCTCTTTGCAGGTTCTCTTTTACTGCAGTCTCTCTGTCTGTTTCTCTTTTCCTTTTCTTTTTCTTTTATTTTGAGAGACAGGGTCTCACTCTGTTGCCCAGGCTGAGTGCAGTGGTGCAATCCTCAGTTGCTGTAGCTTCCACCTCCTGGGCTCAAGCAATCCTCCCACTTCAGCCTCCTGAGTAGCTGGAACTACAGGCATGCACCATTATGCTGGGCTCATTTTTTTTAAATTTTGTAGAGATGGTGTCTCACTATCGCCAGTCCAGGCTGGTCTGGAACTCCCGGGCTCAAGTGGTCTTCCTGCCTTGGCCTCTCAAAGTGTTGGGATCACAGGTGTGAGCCACCACACCCAGCCTCACTGCAGTCTTAACAGCGACTTCAGACCCTTCCTCCTGGAGCCGTCCCTGCACCAACCTGCCCTTCAGGAGCTTCCCATCAACTGGGACGCTGGGCAGGACCCCAGGTGGCAGCAACATAAAACTTCAAGCTGCTGGGCAGAGGACAGAAGGGGCCCGGGGTCACAGGAGGATGGAGAGGGCGGGGCAGTCAGCATGCTCGCTGGAGGATGGAGAGGGCGGGGCCGTCAGCATGCTCGCTGGAGGATGGAGAGGGCGGGGCCGTCAGCATGCTCGCTGTAGGATGGAGGAGGTGAGCCAAGCCCAGAATCGGGAAACCCCGGGAGGGTGGCCTGTGACCCGGGCTGAACGCTCCTTGAATCCTGGCTCCATTGAGTCTCCTTCATCGCCTCTTCGCTTTGCAGCGACCTGACGAGTTGTGTGGGATTGCGTGAGACCTTCACCAAGACCCAGCCTGGGCCCGGGATGTGGGGAGCCAAGGCGGTGGTGCTAAGACCACAGGACAATGCGGGGCAGGAATGCGCTGAGGTGGGTGCCGGCTTGCAGGCTGGGTGACCCCACATTGTTTTGTGAGGAAGGGTGTGTCACGTGTGCATGCTGTGTCAGAACAAGAAGCCGAGTTCCTCCCTCTGCTGGGCCTTGGTTTCGTCATTCAGAACAGAAGGGGCTTTTGGGCCAGGAAGGTCTAAAGCATGGGGTTTGGGTTGGGGAGAGAAGTCCAGTGCAGAGGTGGGGCTGGAGTGTGGAAATGCCCTTGGGGCACTTCATCCCTACTCCCAAAGCACCCAGGAGGGACTTCACAGGGACCAAGTGCATGTGAGGAGGTGCAGAAGGCAGGGGCCGGGCAGCTGGGTGCCCCCTCCTCCAGGCAGGCCTCCCTGCACTCCACGTCTCTGTGACATCCACCTCTGACTCCACACAGATTCCCCATACCACACGGACCTCTCTGCTTGTGCCCGTGCTCACCAGCCTGGCTGTGGGGTCTGGGATGTTTTCACTCAGATGTGTGTCTTCCCCAGCCCCACCTCCCATATAGCGCTTGGCACAGAGTTCTGGGAAGGTCTGTGGAAGGAACCAACAAATGACTCACAGCACTTGAAGGGAGGGGAAGCTGGGGGTGCAGGGCCTCCCTGAGGGCCATGCTGTCTCCCACCACCACCTCCTTGTTCCTGTGGCCGATATTGCAGGTCCCTGACCTGGGTCCCCACTCACCTTGTTCCAGCACGGAGCACCCTGCCCAGCACCCCTAGGCTTGCTGGGCTGCTGGGGGCTCCCAGCCTCTGCTGGAAACTGCACCCCTGCCCAGTTTCTCCTGGCTGCCTTCCTGCCCTTCTTCCCCTGACTTCAGTGCTCAGTGAAGCGTCACCTTCCTGGAGGCCTCCTGCAAACCCCAGACAGGGGAGCAGGGGCTTTGCTGCGGAGATTCAGCCACATACGGCTTTTCTTTCATTGACATTGACTTTTCATTACAAAATTGGCATGCCCACCGAGACCCGAATGAAAGAGCAGTGTCTAAAGCAAGAAGCAGCGCCCCCTCACTGCTGTCTCTGAAAGCAGCGCCCCGGCGTTCGCTCCCACTTCCATAGTTTTCTCTGCTTATGCAAAAGCACATGTTGAAAACAACAACTTGTAGGAAGAAAAAAAGTTGGGCCTGGTGGCTCACGCCTGTAATCCCAGGACTTTGGGAGGCCGAGGCAGGAGGATCACCTGAGGTCAGGAGTTGGAGAGCAGTCTGGCCAACATGGTGAAACCCTGTCTCTACTGAAAAAATACAAAAATTAGCTGGGCATGGTGGTGTGTGCCTATAGTCCCAGCTACTCTGGAGGCTGAGGCAGAGACAGGAGAATTGCTTGAACTCAGGAGGTGAAGGTTGCAGTGAGTTGAGATCGTGCCACTGCACTCAGCCTGGGCGGCAGAGAGAGACTCCTTCTCAAAAAAACAACAACAAAAAATAAAATAAAAAGAGAACAATAACTTGTAACCGGCAGGGTTGCTGCATGAGTTTCTTACACTCTGTAAGGCTATTCTTGGATGTAAGTGAGCCAGTGTGGCCAGGAGGGTGACAAGAAGCAGTGTGCACCTTGCTGTCACCTGGGCTCAGAGATTCTGGAGGGGTCGGTCTAAGGGTGGTGGGAAGCAACACTGAGGCAGCAAGAGGGGCTCCTTAGGATCTGCTAAAAGCTCTGCAGAACGTCACTGTCCCCTGTACAGCCAGGAGGCCAAGGCCCAGCGCTGGGAGCCACCTCCCTCCTCAGGGGCCTGACGACAAAGGCAGTGCTTCCTCGAGTCACTCCACCAACGTCAAGGACCTCAAAGCCAAGCTCCTGCTACACAGTGGAAATGAGGACCATTGCTAGTGATAAGTGCCAGAGCCATCAGGTTTTGAAAGGCCCCTGCCTGGTTGCAGTCACAGACCATCCAAGCTGAAACGCATGCTGCTCCAGATGGCCACACCTGATCCCAACGAAAACGCAGGAGACAATGCGTGAAGTTTGTCCAGCATGAAACAGTCATTCGATAAACTAGATAAAAGGCTCCAAAATGTGGACAAGGAGAAACAACCTAGCATACATCAGTTGGTTGTGGTGTTTAAGTCACTTTCTATTTTCTAAGTTTCCTACAAGAATTACCTGGAGGCGGCTGGGTGTGGTGGCTCATTGTGAGCCAAAAGTGCGCCACTGCGCTCCAGCCTGTGCAAGAGAGCGAGACTCCATCTCTCTCTCTCTCTTTTTGTTTTTTGAGATGGAGTTTCGCTTTTTTTGTCCAGGCTGGAATGCAATGGCATGATCTTGGCTCACTGCAACCTCTGCCTCCTAGGTTCAAGCGATTCTTCTTGCTCAGCCTCCCATGTAGCTAGGATTATAAGTGCCTGCCACCAGGCCTAGCTAATGTTGTATTTTTAGTAGAGGCAGGTTTTCATTATATCGGTCAGGCTGATCTTGAACTCCTGACCTCAGGTGGTCTGCCCACCCTGGCCTCCCAAATTGCTGAGATTACAGGGGTGAGCCACCATGTCTGGTTGAGACTCCATCTCAAAAAAAAAAAATTACCTGGAGGCTTCCTCTACATGATAATGTAATCTGCAGAAGGGTCTGGCTGCTCACTGCTCTTTCTTGTAGAAAGAAGCCAAAATAGTAACAAGTTGTGATAGAAAGAGAACGAGACTTTATTATCAAGCCAGCAGGGGAAAAGCAGAAAGCAGCTCCACTCTTCCATTTGCAGAGGGAATGCAGAGCATTTTCTCTCTTTCTTTTTTTTTTTTTTGAGACAGAATTTTGCTTTTGTCACCCAGGCTGTATTGCAGTGACACAGTCTCGGCTCACCACAACCTCTGCCTCCCAGGTTCAAGTGATTCTCTGCCTCAGCCTCCAAAGCAGCTGGGATTTCAGGCACCTGCCACCACGCCCGGCTAATTTTTGTATTTTCAGTATAGACGGGGTTTCACCATGCTGGTCAAGCTGGTCTCAAACTCCTGACCTCAGGTGATCCTCCCCTCTCAGTCTCCCAAAGTGCTGGGTACAGGCGTGAGCCACCATGCCTAGCCAGGCAGGGGATTTGAAAGAGAGGGTTTGGAATGCAGAAGAGGCAGGGGGTGAGGAGGTGCCAGGTGCATGACCCACCCCAAGGCTCCCCTTGAATTGTTCCATCTGGTGAAGGGGCTGGTGCCAGCGTGGCTTCTACCAGGTTATAAACTAATTGTCGTCAGACTCGTAGTCAGTCTCGAGCCAGGAGCGCGTTCCTGCCTTGAAGTAATTTTTTGCTGGAGAGAGAATTCCGGCGGTGTCTGGTCTGTATCAGGATCTGAGGGTTTTAAGGAAGTAGTGAGCAGATAAGTGAGCATGGTTTGCACCTAACAACATTCCAGGTAAATAAGTGTGCGTAAGGCTTGGAGCACAGAATGGGAACGGGAGTGGAGCTCACAGCACATTCCAAGGCTGTGAAGTTTATCTCAGAGCTACAGCTTGAAACTGGGGAGGAAGCAGAAAAGGGGAAAGAAAAAGAAGTTTTGAAATGTGATTTGAGGTGAAGCTGTAAGTGGCTCGGTTACAAGGACCTTAGCTTCCACACCCTCCTGCACCCCTCGTAGCGTGACTCCAGATGAATTCATCTCTTCAGACCCAGCTTGACCCCTCTAGCCAGTGGCCAATCAGGGAAGCCTTCCACCTGTGGCCCCTGCTTCCAGATGTCCTGCCTTTCTGGGCCGAACCAGAGTATGCATTATGTGTATTGATTTCTGGCTTTGCCTGCAATTTCTGTCTCCCTAAAATGTATAAAGGCAAGCTGTACCTTGACCACCTTGAGCACATGCTCTCAGGACGTCCCAAGGCTGTGTCATGGGTCACAATCCTTACTCTTAGCAAAATAAACCTCTAAATTGATTGAGACTCATCTCAGACACTTTTTGGCTTACAAGGGGCAGCGACAGCTCAGGGTAGGGGATTTCTGGCCACAGTCTACTTACTGTCACAAATATGGGGCAGGTTCCAGGGAAAGCCGAGTCCATGGATCCTGAAGGAGCAAGGATGCTGGCACCATCCCTGGGGTGTGTCCCCCAGAGTCTCAGGGCAGGCTCCAGGAAAAGAAGGGCCTGACCAATGGAGCTCCTGGATCCCAGGGTTCCCAGAGTTCCATGGTTCCAGGGTTCCCAGGGTTCCAGGTTTCCAGGTTTCCAGGGTTCCCATGGTTTCAGGGTTCCCAGGGTTCCCCCGGTTCTCAGGTCCCAGGGTTTTCAGGGTTCCAGGGTTCCAGGGGTCCCAGGGTCCCAGGGTTCCCAGAGTTCCCAGGGTTCCAGGGTTCCAGGGTTCCCAGGGTTTCAGGGTTCCAGGGTTCCAGGGGTCCCAGGGTTTCAGGGTTCCAGGGTTCCCAGGGTTCCAGGTTTCCAGAGTTCCCAGGGTTCCCAGGGTTCCAGGGTTCCAGGGTTCCCAGGGTTCCCAAGGTTCCAGGGTTCCCAGGGTTTCAGGGTTCCCAGGGTTCCAGGGTTCCAGGTTTCCAGGGTTCCAGGTTTCCAGGGTTCCCACGGTTTTAGGGTTCCCAGCGTTCCAGGGGTCCCAGGTCTCAGGGTTCCCAGGTTCTAGGCTGGTTTGCCCATTATATTTGTTACTGGAAAGGGGTCCCTATCTAGACCCTAAGAGGGTTTTTGAATCTTGTGCAAGAAAGAATCTAGGTCAAGTCCACAGGAAGCAGGTTTATTAAGAAAGTAAGGGAATAAACAATGGCCACTCCGTAGACAGAGTGGGTATACCTGAAAGCACGAGGAGGACTGTGCTGCCATAGCGCAGTGCGAGTTTATATATGAGACATGAAAGCCAAAAAATTATGGGGGATGAGCTCTGCTGGGGCTCCGGAGAAAGGATTGCTTATCTGTGTGTCACTACTGTCTTTTGCAAGAATCTATATAATATTATCTTCATAGCGAAACTCATTCTTAAACCAAGAATGCTTCTGTTCCTAAGACATCGGACATCAGGACCTTATTTTCTGGGTCTGTTTGGCAAACATTATTATGTTGTTCCCTTAACTGTAATATCCTGGTGACTGAACACCCCAAAGTCCCAGAACCCAGCAGGTGTCAGACTCATTTTACCCAGCCCCTTTTCAAGATGGAGTCGCAGGTGTCAGTGTCATTTTACCCAGCCCCTTTTCAAGATGGAGTTGCTCTGGTTGGAGGGCCTGTGACACCTTCATGCCACCAGGAACACCAGGGGCTTACTGAGAAGAGTGTTGCTCACAGAGTGCTGCTGAGAGCTGCAGGTCTCTGCAGGATCCCTCTTCGAGCTCGTGAAGGCCTGGCAGTGCCCTCTGGCCCTCCCTAGGGGCATCAGGCATCTGGGGCCTCAGGCGCTGGCCCCCACCCCTTCCCACTTACCCCCTCCTGCCCCGTACTGGAACCTGTACCCTCCGAGCTCTGTGACCCGAGGTGCGTGGTCTGATTGCGGAGACCTCCGGGCCCCTTTGCCAGCAGCAGACTCTGGTTGATGGTGCAATTCTAGGGCTGCCATGGGTGATCAGGAAGGGCAGTGCTCCCTGCTTCCCTGCAGGTTAAGTGGGGTCTCCCCGACAGGAGTGTGCAGCCAGGCCCCTGCACACTCGTCCCTGGGTGGTTCGGGGGTGCCCGCAGCCATCCGTCTCCACAGTTTTTTTACTGGCAAAATGAAGCTTCTATTTTAAAGTTGCAATGAGATGGTTTTCTGTTCCTGTTCCTTGCTACTGAAAGCATTGGGAACTGATCCAGACCTCAGGCTGAGCGGGGCCAGGTGGGACAGGGTTCCCCTCCCACTGGCGCTGGAGGCCCCTGCTGGCCCGGAGCTCCAGGAAGGGCTGAGGGGCAGGGAGGACGCCGCCTCGCCTTTGGTTTGATGACGCCCAGCCGACATTTCGCCCCTTTCTGCTTCATCTTATTTCTCACTCGTGGGGTCTCTTCACATGGAGGTGGAGTTGTGCTCCCTGGAGCTGTGGTCCGGAGCCAAGGCCGTGGGAATTAGAAGCTGCAAGAGGTTTCGGGGAGGGGTGTGGCAGGTTCCCTTTCCCTGGGTTTCTGGGCTCCCTAGCCTGAGGCAAGGGGAAGGAGCCTGAGGCGCTGCAGGGTCAGGGCAGGGTGGCGGCTGCGTAACCCAGGGGTACCTGGGAGGCTGGTGGCCTCCAGAGCGGAGAGGGGAGAGAAGAAAGAGAGCTGATTTTGCCCAGGGTGCGGCGTGACTTGCAGTGCACTTCAGAGCCTGCTGGGGACACCACTGAGCCACGGGAGCTGGGCTCAGAGGCTCACCAGGGGCCCAGGCGGGGCTGAGGGAGGGCTGGCCTCGAGACGAGCTTCTGCAGCTGGCCCTTCACCAGCTCCTCCACTGCAGGGATGTCACTATTAAGTCCAATGAATTAAAAGACAAAATGCCGAGCGTGTTAGGAACGAATTCCACTCCTAGATGCCCGTTTCCACGGCAACGCTGGCTCCATCCCTCAGAGAGTGGGTGCCAGAGCAGCGCTTGCAGGCCACAGCCCCTGAAGAGGAGGGAGGGGATGAACTGGTGGGCTCTGGGGAGAGTCCCATGTCCCCCAGGGTTCGAGGCGGAGTCCTGCTCTCACTGTCTCTTCTGCACTCCCTTGGGTCTGCCCCACCCAGGTTGCCCCACCCACGTATCTGAGTCCGCCTGTCCCCAAATGGCAGGTGGGGGATGTGGGGGGTCCAGTCCTGGGGGTGTCAGACGCCCCTTGTGTGTGTCCTTATATGGGTGTGGTCAGAGCTCCCAGGGGAGGGAGGCATGGTTAGGGTTTGTCCTAAGAGTTGAGTCAGGCACTGCACCCGGCTTTTGGTCAGTTTTGATGGCTGGGAGACATGGGCGTGGGCAGACCCGAGGGGTGCAGGAGAGATGGAGTGAGAGCAAACCTCTGGCAGGCTTCTCATGATGAGCAGGGGTAAAGGGGTCTGAATTCTTTTGGGGCAGGAAGATATAACTTCGGGTCTGACTTCTGGACTGCAGCCACCAGGGTCCCAGCAAGGCCCCTTCCTGGGACCGTGGCCCCTTGAGCCAGGGAGCTTGGGTTGATCCTCCCCAGACAGTGGCTTCCAGAGGACAGCCAGTCTCCAGGCAGGTGTCCAGGGAGGGGCTGATGTGGGCTCAGGAAAGGTCCCTGACATACCCAGGTTCAAATCCTCGAGCCTGCGAATGTGCCTTCTATGGCAAAAGGGACTTTGCAGCCATGAGGAAGCAGAGGACCTGAGATGGGAGATGGCTCCAGATTCTCCAGGAGGGTCCTAAGTGTGGTCACAGAGTCCCTGTAAGCAGGGGTCCGAGGCAGAGCTGACTTGGGACGGCAGTGAGGGAGCAGTGGATGGAGAGGCTTTGGAGGTGGAGGAAGTGCCATGAGCCAAGGAGTGCAGGCGGCCTCTTGAAGCTGAGCGGGGCAGGCAGTGGATTCTCTCTAGAGAAAACACAGCCCAGCCAGAGCCTTGACTTTAACTTCTGACCTCCGGAACCGCGGCATGAACTTGTGTGGTCACAAGGTTTGTGTGATTTGTACTGACAGCCTTGGGAAACCGGTACAGATGGACGGGGACTCTAGGGCCAGGGCCCTGCCCCTCCCTGCCCAGCACCCCCAGCCCCCAGCCTCCCTGCTGCCCAGGCTGGATGAGAAAGGGTGGCCCCTCTCTGTTCACTCCTGAGACTGACAGCATGCCCTGGGCTCTGAGGTGGCGCCCGGGATGTCTTGGTTGTGGCCATCTGCCCGTTGGCACCGCTGACCCACCTGGCTCAGACTGGACTTGGCCTGGAAATCTGGCTGGCTCTTGGCTGGCATCCAGCTCCTCCTCAGCTCAGGCGTCCTGGAGCCTGGGACACCCGTGGGAAGTGGCTGCGGTTGGCAGGAAGCCCTGGGACGGATCCCGAATCTGCACGACCCAGCTGTGGGACCTTGAGCTCCAGCCTCACGTCCCAGCTGCAGCCTTTCCTACCTCAGGTGGGCTGTGACGGGGCACCTTAGCCAGCTAAGCATGATGCCCCCTCCTCCTCAGAGCCTGTGGGTGCCAGGAGAAAGCCCTCTGTAGGCTGCTGAGGGTGGTGTTTGGGGTGGGTGCTGGCAGTGGGCTGCTCTGTCCCTGTTTTGGCCCCTCACCAGCTTCTAAAGCTGCAGGGACACGCTCAGCTCCCGTGCCTTTGGGCAGGGCAGGTGAGAGCCCAGGGGAGTCCAGCTGGGCTTCTGCTTCCTCAGGGGCAAGGATGAGGGACCCAGCTGCTGGCAGGGCCCAGGACCCTGGGATAAGACAGGTACCCAAGGCCAGGGCAGGCCGTACAGCCAGTGGTTTCAGACTGCACGCCCAGAGGTGGTGTGGGTAGGGAGGGGCGGGGCTCTGTCACACAGACCTGCGCAGGGCTTTAAGGCAGCTGCGTGCAGAAAGCCTTTGGTGAACTCAGGTTATGTCACCCGGCATTTCTAAGTTGGGCGTGGTTAATGAGGTTTCTTTGAATCGTGAGGGTCTCGGGCTGCTCAAGTGGGGCAGGAACTGACGGCAAGTGAAGAGTGGGGTCACGAGAAGGGTCCTGATGGCCACAGCTCCCATTTACCCAGCACGTGCTCTCTGCCAGGCATGTGGCTATAAGCCCTGACCCGTGGCGCCCCGGTGGAGGCTCACTGCAGCCCACAAGGAGGGCTCTCCTGGACTCCCGCTCAACAGAGCCAAGTGGGAGGTGAAGGCATTCCCAGGGCCATGGAGCTGGGGAGGGCTGGACCCAAGATTCCAAACAGGCAGCCCAAGCCCTTGCTCTAGCAAGGCTGTAGGCTGCGTGTTTGTGCGCATACAATTGCATGTGTGAGTGCGAAATGCAAGTAACAGAGGGACCCCAAATCACGAGCTTCCACACGGGAGAAATTTATTCCCCTCCCAGGTAAGGGGACCCTGAGGTAGGCAGTGCCCCCTGTCGGCAGCGAGCTGGGCCCCGCTGGCCATGCTGCCCTGATGCCTGGTCCCGCCTCATGGTGCAGAGTTGTTGCTGAGCTCCACTCATCACCTCAGCCAACAGGAATGAGGAAGGGAAGGAGAAAGACGTGACCCCTCCATCTAAGGCATTTGCCTCGAGACCCCCAGCTAGGCACTGCGGGTTTTTTTATTGAGGGAAAGGAGAGAATAGTTGGCGGAGGCCTCCTGTGCCTACTGGGATGAACTCGGCGGGCCAGGCAGCACTCTGGGCTTCCTGGTGCATGGGGTGTAGAATTGGCAGGGATCCAGGGGTTCTTGAAGTCTTGCTCTGTACTTCTCAGAAGGGGAAACTGAGACCCAAGTGAGTGGCTGAGCTGTGACCCAGGCTGGGCCTCTGCCTGTCTTCCCAGGGCTGTGGCGAAGGCAGAGCTTGGAGCAGTCACCAGCCCTGCCAGAGGAGCCCCTGGGGACCTCCCAGAATGGGCCATCTACCTGCCTGGCTCTGCTACCCAGTCTTGCTTCCTGCAGGAAGCCGCAGGCCCATTCTTCCCCCTCCCTGGCACAGGGTAGCCTGTCTGTCACCCTGGGGCCCCTCCATGACACCCATCAGGCTTCAGGCCTGGGGGCTGGAATCTAGAGTGCTGCCAGGATGAGGCTGGAAAATTTCCATCTCATCTACTCCTCTCCTCTCATCAACTCCACGCGTCTCCTGCTCTAGCCCGCAGCCCCCCAGGCCTGTTTCTCCTAGGGGCAACTACAGCCTCGCTCCAAAGCCTCTTCCCTCCGGACAGTGGGGAGGCCACCCTGGGGAAGGGCAGGGCAGGCCCATGTGGCTACTAGCAGATGGAGGGATTCCCACAGTAGAAAGTCAAGGGTGAGGATTGGTCGTGGGGGCCCCCAGGCATGTAGTGGGTGTCATTTCTGCCTGGCTGGGCTGGTGGGCACCCCTACCCCCATGAGGGCTGCAGGTCCTGGGGCATGGTGGCCAAGGCCTGGACCTGGTGCCCACGTGCTGCCGTTCTGACGCTCATAGGTGGTGGGAAGAGGAAACCAAGGATGAAGCCAGGAACAGAGGAAGCAACTGGGCAGGGGGCCTGTGATGGCTGGATCACCCAGGGCACTCCGAATTCATTCTCCAAAGCTGGCGCAGGGGCAGAAGGAGCAGGTACCAGACAGAGTGCTGGCCAGGCCAGGGGTGAGTCAGGTGGGCTTGGGGTAGGGAGATGCCGTGGGTCTAAGTTTCTTGGGGCTGGGAAGGGCTGTGGTCAGGGTCTCTGGGGGTGAGGAGAGGCAGTTGTCAGGGTCTCCTGGGAGTGGGGAGGGCTGTGTCAGGGTCTCTCAGGGGTGGGGAGGGGCTGTTGTCAGGGTCTCCTGGGGGTGGCAAGGGGCCGTGGTCAGGGTCTCCTGGGGTGGGTCAGGCTCTCCCAGCCTCTATTGCACCAAGGCCGGTGAGGAGGATGAGCAGGAAGGCCGTGCCCACAGTTTTGGAGCTGTCCCGGGGGCTGCCTGCCCCCTTGCCCAGTGGGTCCTGGACTTGGGAGCTCTGCCAGGGTGGGACGTTGCACAGGCTGGACTGGCAGCAGGTCATGGTCATCTGGGTCCCCTCGACTGTCTTGGTGAAGGGCTGGCAGCTGTCTGCACACCAGGTGGAGTGGGTGGTCAGGAGGCCTGACTCTGGGGAGGGGAGGGGGGGAACAGGGGCTGAGGCTGGGCAGGGCCTCCGAGGTGGCTCTGTTAGGGCCCTCGGCTTTCCCACTGCCTGGGGGTGCACGTGCTGGGGCTCCACGCCCACTTACCCGTGTTCCCGTGGGCAATGAGGGTGGTGCAGGTGTGGCCGTGCCTGCAGTTCTGTGTCAGGTTACAGCGTTCGTTCCTGGGCAGGGACTGACAGGTGTAACACCGAAGCAGCACTGCGGACAAGCTGGGCTCAGGCCAAGGCTGGGTCCCCTGGGTCTCCTCCCACACCGCTGTCCACCTCCGCATTCTCAGCTGTGCCCCCAAAGCCTAGCCTGCTGAGACTTCGGTACCCGCTGCTCAGATGGGCTGGTGACCCCAGCTTGGCCCTGGGAACTGTGCTATGCACGTGAGCCTGTGTGTTCAGGGCTGAGGGATTTCGGGCCAGGAGGGTGAACTTTCCCTTATCACTCAGCTCCCATGACAGTTCTGCCCAGGCTCCTGCTGTGGGATGGAAGACCTGGCAGTGAGTCCGACTCAGTCCTGCCTGCGGGAGCACCAGGCCTGGCAGAAGAGGACCTCACAGGGGACACCTCGTGGGTGTGTGGGTTGGGGCTTGGGCTGAGGGCAGGCCTGGGGGCTCTGGGGCGGGGGTGAGCTGGGTGTGGTGGGGCGTGCTGGGAGCCCCGGCTTGAGGGGCCAGCAGTGGGTTGGATGCAGCAATTTGCTCTGCTTTGTTCTTCGGATGGGGGAGAGCAGAGGGTGGCCCCACTGTGCAGGGGGCGTAGGAGTGGACGCTGAGGGTGGGCTCTTACTAGCTCCACTCTGCTCTGCTTTCAGCGCTTCCCTGGCTCCCCAGCCTGCAGCAGGCAGTCCAGCCCTCCCCTGCACAGGGCTGCCCACCTGCTGCTCCCTCTGCCCCACCAAACTGAACCCAACCCTGGGGCCCTGCACCTGCTGTCTCCCTGGGCCCCACTGAGCCCTTCTCTGCCGGGTGAGCTCCTGTCTAACTTCTACATCCTGGCACCACTCACTCCCAGTTGGTGGCTTCTTCCTCTGTTCCCGACTCTGGAAGGCAACTGAATGTCATGGTGACTGGGAGAAGTGAGGGGTGCGCTGGGCGTCCCCCACTCTGCTGGAGGTAAACTCACAGCAGGGCTTTGGCCTGTTGGCTTCCACCACAGGCGGGCTCCCAGAACGCTCCAAGCAGAGCAGGGCCCTGGGGTCGGGTGGCTGTACCTCTGTCCCTGCCACCAGGGAGCCTGTCAGTCTCCTCTTCCACCTCATCCTCATCTTCCTCATCGTAGCCATCTGGCCTGTAGTCCTCCTCCTCCTCCTCCTCCTCCGGCTCTGCCTGCCCTCTCCCTGGCGGTGCAAAAATGCTTGTAAGCCTCAGCTACCCAGATACTTGGGATACCGGCTCTGGGCAAGTGTTGTGCTCCCCACTCCTTGGCACCCCCCACCTCCACAGGCCCCAGGGCAGCCTACCTGGTGTCACCTCTGGCCCGCGCATGCCCTGCTCACTGTCCTGCAGCCAAGCATGCCCTGGCATTGGCGGTACAACAGCAGCTGCTGTGGGCTGGCACTTTATGATGGCCCCTCCTCACACCCCACGTAAATAGGGCCACAGATGTTTGGGGACTCTCGGGGGCCCAGGTCAGCTTCCATTCATGCCCCTCTGGCCTGGGGGCTCCCGCCTCATCCCCTCCTTCTCCCTAAGCCCCTGCTGGGGGTCCCTGGAGGTCCTGCTCCGGGACTGCGCCTGCTGCCCCCCACCACAGGGTTACCCTTTGCTCTGTACCTGGCCACCTGCATAGAAGCAGGACAAGCAGGACAGCTCCAAGCACCTTCATCTCGCCGGTCGCTGCTGTGTCCCTGACTCTGAGTCCTTGTGTAGGGCTCTGGAGCTGCGGTAAGTGGGATGAAGGGCATTGCTGGGGGCTTCCCAGTGGCCCCCACCAGCTCCAGCCTCAAACAATGGGCCTCACACTGGTCCCCAGCTCCAGGCGCCAGGCCAGGGACTGTCGTTTCCCTCCAGGACCTCTGGGGCCAGAGGGGAAGGATAAGTCATTGTGGTTGGCCTTGGAGCGTCCTGTGCACCTGTACTATGGCGGCTGAAGATGGTGCTGGCCACAGGAGCTGCTGGCCCTGCCCTGGCTTGCTGCTCAGTGCCTCAGCCCCGCAGGGCAGGACAGGGAGTCTCGCCTCTGATTAGGCCATGCCTGATACCCCCAACCCCGTGTCTGGGCTCCACAGCCACAGGAGCTTGGGTCACAGACCCTCTATTTGCCAATCACTGGCCAAGCATCTTCATCCCAGAGCCAGCATCCCACCCAGGCCCCTTTAAGAGTGTTTAGATAAAAACAGTCAATGCCCGCAAGCTAAGGCTGTGTATTCACCTCTTCCTCACCCCCACTCAGCAGTGTGTTTGCTGGTCCTGAGGCCTCCTGACTGCCCCTCACTTCCACCTCCAGCCTTTGCCCCTGCTGTTCCCTCTGTCTGCAGTGCTGTTCTTGCTTGTGTCCTGTGGAGAGCTTTCCAGAGCTGCTGAGCCTGCTCCCTCGGCCTCCAGCTGGGAAAGCCATCAGCCTTACCTCCCTTCTGGCCTTGTGTGAGAGATGGCTGCTCTGGGAGAGGCTTGGCACCCCCAGGCCTCTCCCTGAACCAACCCCCTCCACCAAAGCGGATGCAGAGCCCCTAGGGGAGGATGCAGAGGGTAGAGTCCAGGCTCCGAGCTGCCCCTCTCCCTAGTGCAGCAGAGGGGTGGGGCAGCAGCCAGGGTTGGACGGGAGCCCGGAGCCAGGGTCAAGCCTGCACATCTGTGTGCTTTGGAGCTTGGGCCATCCACATCCCTCTGGCCTGGGGACTCCAGCCACATCCCCTCCTTCTCCCTAAGCCCCTGCAGGGGGTCTCTGGAGGCCCCTGTGCTCCGGGACTGTGATCGCCTTCCGAGACCTCAGTTTCGCCGACTTTCAACGGGTGGGGTGGGGCATTTTCTGGCCTGCCACCTGTAACAGAGGTTGAGTTGGTTCTGGAATGAGCCGCCTGGGTTTAGGACCAGGTTCTTCCTTCCCCAGGCTTTGGGTCCTGGACTAGCCCCTTGGGTTTGCCGGGTTTCAGCTCCTTCATGGGATGAGGTGACTTGCTGGGCTTAGGGCAGCGCCTGAGGCTGGGAATACCTGTCTCTGATGTCTCAGCCACCTTCGCTCATCTCGAATCTGTCATTCTTTCCACTCCGCGGGCACCCACCCAGCGTCCAGACCTTCCCAGTCCAAGGCTGCAAGGCCACTTTCCAAGCCAGGGTCGCCCACAGCGGTGCTCATGCGGACACACCCCGCAGGCCCCATTCTCTTCATACCTGGTGCCATTCCCCCCAGCCCAGCCCCGCCCGTCTGCCTGTGGTCTCACCCCAACCTGCCTCCCAGCACCTTCTTGCTTTCCGCCCGCCTATCCCACTGCCCCGCCTCCCTATGGATTCACCTCCCCACGGACCCGCCTCCCCTGAGCCCTCATCCAGCCCCGAATGGCCCTCTCCCTGCTTTCCCCAAGGCCCGCCCCGCCTCCCCATCGCTCCACCTCCCCGTCGCTCCGCCCTCAAGCCCGCCTCCCCATCGCTCCACCTCCCCGTTGCTCCGCCCTCAAGCCCGCCTCCCCATAGCTCCACCTCCCCGTCGCTCCGCCCTCAAACCCGCCTCCCAATCGCCCCGCCCCCCCATGCCGCACCTCCCCCGCGCCTCGCCTCCCCGTCGCCCCGCCTTTCTGGCGCCCCGCCTCCCCACACTCTACCTCCCCATTGCCTTGCCTCCCATTCGCCCTGCCTCCTTGTCGCCCCGCCTCCCCCACGCCCGCCTCCTTGTCACCCCGCCTCTCCGTCGTCCCGCCTCCCTGCTCTCCGCCCCGGCTCCCACTACAGGCCCTTGAATCTAGTGCTGCAGGAGCTGCTCCTAGGAAGGGCGCTACTGGGGTTCTCAGGACTGTTGAGAGCAGGGAGTCTCCACCTGCTGCCTCCCCTCTCCCGGGGCCCAGGCCCTTGCCCCTTGCCTCCCTCTGGGCCCAGCTTCTCCTCAGCCCAGGTGCAGACTGCCCAGCCCAGGCCAGGGCTTATTGCGGAATCACCTAAGGACAATCAGAGCACATTTGATTCGCAGATTGAGTTAAATTTAGTGCTCGCAGCTGAGTGGCTGTTCCCTCTGTCCCGCCCAGGAAAGGCTGCTGGGTCTGATCCAGCCCCTACGGGAGCTGCCACTTGGGATGGAGCGTGGGTGTGAAGGAGGACCCACAAATGGCAGACACCTGGTCTCCCAGCACTGCCCCCAGCCAACAGGTGGGTGTGGCAGGCTCTGTCTGTGGAACCAACCCCCTCATCCCACCCAGGCACCGCACAGCCTCTCTCAAGCCTCCAGGACAGGATCATGACCTCTCAGACACTCCAGGGTGAAGATATGACCCCTGAGACCTTCAGGGCAGGGCAGTGGTCCCCCAGAGCCAGGGCTAAGGGCTGGTGGTCCTGAGGGCGGCCGCCATGGGCCATTTTAGAGCCTGCACCTGCGCCCTTGGGCTCCACCACCTTTCCAAGCCCAGGCCTCCTCCCTGAGCCATGCCCATGCCCCAAGGTGCCCTTTAAGGGCAGCCTGGTCACCCCAGCTCCCGGCCCGCAGACCCCTGTGCCGTGGGGCCTGGACTTGCCTGCTGTGCGGCTGGGCCGGGCTGGCTCTTAAGGCTGGCCCTTCTGACACAGCTGCTCTCTGGGCCTCCTCCCAGGTGGGGCCTACGTGAGTCACGTGTCTCTTTCTGGCAGCAGCAGCCTTGGGCTCAGACCTTGGTGCTGGTTGTGGACAGGGGATGCCCAGCCATCCACACTCCCTCCTGCCTGGGTGACATGGAGGGGGTGGGGCTTGGTGGGCAGGGTCCGTGCTGGCATCATGCCCAGGTGGGGTCATGGGCTCTGCTGTCCTGGGGGGCTGTGTGGCCCCATCCTAGGCCTGGGCTCCTATCCTGTACGCCCTTCCCGTGTTGACACCAGCTGGAGTCCCATCCAGGCCTGTGCACCGCCGTTTCCAACAGGCAGCTGGCCCAGTGATTGGGGTTGGAATCAAGGAGGCATCGGGAGGGAGGAGGGCACCTGTGGCTGGGCCTCAGTGAGCAGAGTTTTTCTATAAGGAAGGGTGGGAAATGTTTCTGACTGAGGGGCAAGTGTGCAGGGCAGGACCTTTGGAGGCAGATATGGGCTGCAGAGGCGCTGGCCCTTGCTGCCGCTCTCACTGCTCTGGGCTCCTTCTTGCCCTCTCTGCAGCCAACCCTGTCCTGTCTCACTGAACCTGAGTCTGGCAGAGGGAGGGGCTTGTTTTTCAGAGCAGAATCCAAACCTTCCTCCCCTGGGTGGGCAGTGAGGGGCCTCTCCTGGGGTTACTCTGCTTCTCTCTTTTTGTTGCTGTTGTTCAGACAGAGTCTTGCTCTGTCACTCAGGCTGGAGTGCAGTGATGCAGTCTTGGCTCCCTGTAACCTCCGCCTCCTGGGTTCAAGTGATTTTCCTGCTTCAGCCTCCTGAGTAGCTGGGATTACAGGTTTGCACCACCACGCCCGGCAAATTTTTGTATTTTTAGTAGAGACGGGGTTTCCCCATGTTGGCTAGGCTGGTCTTGAGCTCCCAACCTCAGGTGATCCATCCGCCTTGGCCTCCCAGAGCGTTGGGAATACAGGCGTGAACCACTGCGCCTGGCACTCTCTGAATCGGATGACCCCACAGTGCCAGGCTGGGCAGGCTGCCCACCATGCACACTGAGGCACAAGCCTTTTTTCTTTCCTGGAATCTAGCACTCAGAGGTAGCTCTGGGTGGGTGGGCCAGGGGAAGGAGCTCCCATGGGTCCTGCAGTTCCCATGCACCCCTAGAACCCGTGAGGGAAACACACCCTGGTTCCAGAAGCTCCTTCATCAACTCGTTCACATGTGGTTCACTTGGGTACCCTCCCTGGCCTCCCAGCTCCCCTCAGTGCTGCTGCACACCCAGAACCCTCCATTCTCAATTTCCCAGTCCTTAGACACCCCCAGCCCCACCCACGTAACCCTGGAGAGTCTCCCTTCCCTCGCTCTTCCAAAGGGGTCCCTCTTGTCCCAGTTGTGAGAGTGACTGACCTCCGCCTAGCTCCGCTCAACACAGCTTCAGACAGTCCTCCAAGCTCCCACCCCGCTGCCTCCTGCTGCTGTCTGTCTTTGATTTCCGGAGCAGGGCCTGGGCACCATCCTCTCTGGAGACCCTTCTCCATGAAGGACCTCCTGTCCCCACCCCTAGCTTGGTGCCCTCGGCCTGGTTGAGGGATTCAAGGCTTGACTTTAACACCTCCCCCGCAACCCCGTGGCTGTGCTGGGTTCCCCTCTTGGAAAAATGCAAGAGCAAGGAACACATTGTCCCCATCAGTTATTTTATCCATTTAGAATCAATCTCCTTCACACAGAGATTGTTAAAATGTTAGAAACGATGTAACAATTTCACAATATTAAGAGACTAAAAATAAGGATGCGCATACTTTGCAGCTGTATGACAGTGAAGAAACTCTTTACATCCTAATCAGAAAAACAGGAAGCGGAGGAAGTGGAGGACGCTGCTTTCTGCAGGAGCAGGAGCAGGCCAGATCTCACCGCTGCTGTGTTCCTGTGGAGACTGCGCCCGCTGGGCTTGCCTTCTGTCAGGGTCCATGTTTGGCTTCTGATCTGCAGGGTAGTGTCTTCTGCTCTGGCTGACCAGCCTCCCACCCCACCACCCCGCAGAGGCCTGGGAACCAGAGGCCTGGGGCCCTGCAGTCCCTGGAAGGCAGGAAGCTGATGGCTGAGCTCAGGGTGGGATCTGTGTGTGGGTGGGTGAGCGGCAGGCACTGGCCACAGCGGTGGGTGAGGGTGCGTGGAGGGAGAGCAGCTGCTGGAGAAGCCAAAGAGGTACAGCCCAGGGCGGGCAGGAACCCCTACTGGGCTACAGCATGGGCCGCAGCCTTGGGGGTGGCACAGGGCCCCGGCAGCCTCTGCATGTCAGGACCACGTTGCGGGGACATCCCCCTCTGACTCCTGGCAGGCGTGGAGGCAGAGCTTACAGTGTCTTCCACAGTGGCCTCACTGGAGGGGCAGGGGAAAGGAGAGGAGGTTAGGTGGGGAACCAGGGAAGATGAGGGAGGAGGCCACGGGAGGAGGTCTTGGGCAGGGTCTCCGTCTGCCCACAGTGGCGATGGGCAGCTGACCCTGCACCAGAGGTAGCCCTGGTGACTCTGGGCATGCAGGCCCTCCTGGGCCACCATGATGGCTTCTCATAGTTGGTCCTTTGGGTCCAACTGCATCTGGGGTGTGAGGTGGGTGAGGGTCATGGGTGTGACCAGCTTCTTCCTGCCCTGTCTCAGAGGTGCAGTGGGTGCAGGGTGCTAGTCAGGGCAGGTGCAGCCTCTTCAGATGCAGCCACAATGGCTGAAGGCAGGCTGGGCTGCAGGAGACTCCCGGGTCCTCCGCTCTTCTCCCCCAGCTCCCGGCCGATGCTCTTTCACACTCTGCTCCTGCTGGGGTGGAGCTTGGCTGATCTGCACAGGGCGCCCTGGGGGATCACACTTGGTGCCGGCTCTGGCTCTCTCAGAGGTATTGGCCAGAACAGAGGGTCCTTTAGCTACAGGACAGGAAGGCCCAGCTTCCAGGCTGCCTCTTGAGGCAGATTTAGCATTTCAAGTTTGCCATTCTCTTTCTTTAAGTTCCCAGGGCTGTTGGGAGCAGCGGCCTCATCCACAGATTCTGGGTTCCACTTGGAGCTTGGCCTTCCATGAGCACTCTTTAGCCACAGCCCCTTCCACCATTGCTGCCTGCGTTTCCTGGGCCCTGAAATGACTTCACCAGCCAGAGCTACAGGTTGAAGCTGGGAGCCCAGACGGTCCTGCGGGGACGGCCATGGCTTCCCAGGCAGCTCCTCAGGGCCAGGACCCCGCCCAGCTGTCTCTCGGGGCTGCAGGGGAGGGCACAGGGCCTGGTCTTCCCAATTCTGACTTAGAAAGGACTAGCTGTGCTTTTGTCACTGCACGGGCCTCCTTTCAGGTCTGAATATGCTTGTTGAGCTCTTGTGTAAAGCTTTTGTTGAGGAAAGAGTACTGGGTAGCAGAACGTCTGAAGTAAAAGGGAAGGGAAACTAACACTGGATACTGACATGGCTCTTCTCACTAAGCATGTCCCAGGCTCTGTGTTACTTTTGCTATTGACAATGGAAAAACCAAGCTTTGCCAAAGATGTAAAGAGGTTCGTTCTGAGTCTATGCCAGTGAGCCACTGAGGCTTGGGAAACTCAGCCTCAAGAGGTCCTGGGAAAGCGGTGCCGAGGCCACTGGGTTACAGTTTGGTTTTATACATGTCAGAGTGACAAGAATTGCAGGTGAAATAATGAA